AGGTGTGTCTTTGTACCCCCAATATTGTACCTCCACTTCATTTCTAACCAATTTGAAAATATGCCTTGTTCACAAATTGATTCTATTTTTCAAAAATAAACAATTCAGACCTTCCATGGGAGTCATTTTGAATCCCTTAAAGTTGTCCCCAACCATTAAATCTCCCCCCCCCCCTTTTGTATCCCCAATCTTTGGAAACTGGCGCCGCAACAGTGTACCGTCAATTTGACCTGTCTCACTAACGGCACAGTGATTATTGCAGAAGTTGAAAGTTATTAGACCATGTCAATATCGTAAATGATAGAATAATTATCTCACTCCTCACCAAACCGGTTTTCTTATGTATATAAAACTGATACCGAAAAGTGTCGATTCATTGTGATATGACACAGTGAACGGAGGTAACTGTTAGGAGTTGGGGGCAAATGAAATTGCGCTCTATTAGGAATTATTGTAATTTTTAAAGGGATTGTGAAGAGATTTTCTAAATTTTGTGTGTGTATCAGGAACACTGACATCATCAATTTGCAGTATTCCAATTTTCAATCAGACATCTGTGGTTCTTGCAATTCCACTAAAAAATAAATAAATGCTTTATCATTTAAGGCCCCTTCACTATTTGTAACATCAAACATTTAGTTTAAGTGGAATTGTAAGAACCACAGACGTCTGATTGAAAGTTCGCATGTGTCTTCGATTCACATAAATTTAGAAAACCTTTTTACAATAACCTTAAAGAAATATTTTCCTTTCATTCTTATGTGCTTTATTTGCTTTCAGGAAAGTAAAACCTCAGCTATAACCACATACCAGTAATTAAATCAAAATGGCAGCTAGTTCCGGTCTGGTATTGGTAACTGGAGCTTCAGGATTCATAGCTTCTCATATTGTTAAACTTCTCCAATCACAGGGCCATAAAGTACGAGGTACAGTTCGTAGTCTGGCTAATGAGGACAAGGTAAAGCCGCTATATTCTCTGTGCTCTGATGCTAAACACAAGTTAGAGCTCGTAGAAGCTAATTTGAATTCTCTTGAATCTTGGGACGCTGCTGTCAAGGATTGTGAATATGTCATTCATGTCGCCAGTCCCTTTCCAAGCACCTCTCCCCAGGATGAAAATGAGATAATTCGGCCAGCTGTAGAAGGAACAACCAATGTTTTTAAAGCATGTGCTAAAGCCAAGTCTGTTAAACGTATCGTGTTGACAAGTTCCTGTGCTGCCATAGCTTGGGAACAATGTCCAGGTTACAACGAGAGAGTTCGAACAGAGAAAGACTGGAGCGACACTACGAAAATCGACGCCTATTCCAAGAGTAAAACATTGGCTGAACGTGCTGCTTGGGATTTTATTAAAGAATTACCAGCCGAAGAAAAGATCGAGCTAGCAGTTATCAATCCTGCGTTTGTAATGGGCCCAGTTCTACACGGATCTACAGGAACTAGCCAAGAAGTAGTTAAAAGGTTACTAGAAAAAGCAATGCCGGCCATACCGAAAATTAACTTTCCAGTTGTGGATGTCCGAGATGTGGCCATAGCTCACGTTAAAGCAATGACATTGCCAGAAGCTGCTGGTAATCGCCATATTTTAGCCACTGATAACATGTATTTTAGTGACATGGCGCACGTTTTGAAGAAGGAATTTGAACCACAAGGGTATAACATTCCAACAATGGTCGCACCATATTTTGTTTTGTGGCTTTCGAGTATTTTTGATAAAACCGTCAAAATGATTCTACCACAAATCGGCCTAGTGTACAAGTTCGACAACTCTCGTATGAAGAATGTTTTGGGTATAGTGCCACACACCACCACTGACACCCTAGTTGATATGGCCTACACCATGATTGAACGTGGCTTTGTTTTTAAAACAAAGAAATATCGAGGACCACCAGAACAAAAGCAGGGTTAATTGTGTTATGAATTGCATTAAACTTTCTGGCTTCTTCTAACTCCTGTTTCATGGAGTCAAATGAAATGAGTGTTTCTATTAATATCTGTGGAATGTCACAAACTTTCTCGCTTTCTTTTATCAAAATTTGTTTTTGCTGAATATTTTTTTACAAATTCCTGCAATAAATGAGCATTTATTTGTCAGCTATCAACATTAGCTTTTTGACAAGATATCCCAGATGATATTAAAACAATTTTCCTGAGTTATCGTAGGATTTGTGGATGAGTTCAAATTTCATAATTATCATGTTTATTATCAATGTTTTATTTGTATTCTTTATACTTTACTTTTGTTATTTTGTTAGATAGTACATTGTTGTAATTTGTTGGTCTTAAAGTGGAAGCATGTGCTGAAAAAAAAAGTACGTTTTCTTTTAACTAGTGCTGGGTATCATCTATAGTATAATGAATACGGGTTTTGACAGTATCTTAGTATAACGAATGGGTATCGTCAATCATGCCACGATACGATATGTATCGCGATACAAGGGTCACAATACGATAGTATCCGATATGGGGTAATGGGATAAAATCAAAATTATATCTTTAAAGTTTCCATTTACAAATATATTTATTATAACGTTGTAACTGATATTTGGTAATGTGGTGGATGGGAATGATTAACGTCAGCCTATTATAAATACAATTTCAGTCAAGTCAGTGAACAAATTTGTGATTCTATTCACTAACTTATAAAAATCAGCACTTTTTATGGAATGAGAGGTCAAATATCGATACACGTGTACAGTGATATACCGGCCAGCACTATTTTAAACATTGATAGAAAAAAAGCAATAACAATTTTACAATAAAACACTAAGATATATGGATATACTACTTCTGCATTTATTACATACAAGTATATCTTAGTGTTTTATTGGTGCAGAAAAGTAGGACGTAAAACTCCATTCATTTCATTTAGTGTTTTATTGTAATCTTTCAACTTCTATATGTCTTATAAACAACAATTCATGAATTTGTGTATCAGAGAGAGACCTATATAAATTTGAAATCAATATTTGGCGCCTACTCTTAAATTTAAAGTTAATATTTCTGGATTATTTTTTTTTTTATGTGATATTAACTTAACCTTATATTGTATTTTTATATTGAACGATGGCAGTGTTTGTCAGTCCAGTTGTAATGTAACACTCTTATACTATTCTTGTACCCCCACTGGCGACGTCACTGATTTCAGCGCAAATAGTAAAGTAAATGGAGAATGCCTATTTTGTTTCTTGAATCAAATTCTAACCTTGCGAAAATATAAAGCCGCTTATCTCCCTTAGACCAACATTTTCATGAGAAGACGTCATACGTAATACCATGTTCAACAGTCTTATTAGAATCAGATCCATGGGGGTTGAAACCATTTTTCTAAGGTGGGATGGGGGAGAGGGTAAATACATTTTTTAAGCATTAATCTGGCATGAGTTTCGAGCTAAAATCTAGCCTACAACCCAATCGAACATGTATTACTTCTGTATTATTATTCCCAATGAGTTACATGTATTTAAGATAGCTCACTGGTTGTTCCAATCTATCAGAGACTAGTCAGCAAGTTCTATCATAAATTTTTCAGACATGTAAACCAATTTATAATGATAAACTTTATAGCCTTGTCTCATTGAACATTATTGATTATTGGAATTAAAATAACAGCTGTTAACATTCTCAACCTATATAAACTAGTGTCCAAAAGAAACGATACCAACTTATTTTCAAAATTGTTTTTTACTAAGTGAATTGTCTAATATGAAAACATGCCAATTCGTATTGCACATCCCAAACACAGCATAGTCGATAAAAATACCGGGAACACGTGATCACTTCCGGGAAAAAACGTAAATTTCATGAAAGTGACATTTCCCTCTCTAGCATGTTCTGCACGTGCATAAAAACTGTATAAAACGGCTGATCAGACACGTCGATATCACAGCAACAAAAAGAACACAAGATATGCCACGTTTGACAGCCATCGAGAGAGAGAGCCGTTGGAATGGTCCAAGATCGTTACATTCGGGTATTACACCTGAGGAACCACACCGTAACAGCGACGTCCATGGTGGCTACAGCACTGGGACACAGGATCAGTCGACAGACCGTCTACAGGAGACTACGGCAGTATGGTATCCGGCCACGTCATCCCTACCGCGGACCGCTCCTGACGCCTCGACACCGGAACAACAGACTGATCTGGGCCAGGCGAGTTCGACGTTGGCAACGGCGGGACTGGGCACGTGTTATGTTCTCTGATGAGAGCAGATTCCTCATCTTCAAAAACGATGGACGGCAGCTTGTATACCGACGATTTGGTGAACGTTTGGCGCCTAACTGTATCCAACAGGTCCGGTCGTTTGGAGGTGGAGGGTTAATGGTTTGGGGTGGCATATGTGGTGACGTCAAAACGAGGCTTGTCGTAATTCGTGGAAACCTGAATGCACAGCGTTATATTGATGACATCCTACGGCCTGTTATGGTGCCCTTTATTCAGCAACAGCCTCGTGGACTCCTTTTCCAACATGACAATGCAAGGCCACACACAGCAAGATTGACACAGAACTTCCTTGCCAACGCCAACGTACAGGTTTTGCCATGGCCCGCATGTTCACCGGACATGAATCCCATCGAGCACTTATGGGACCACCTCGATCAGCAAATCCGACGTCGCCGTGTGCCTCCAGTCAACGTCCAGGACTTGGAACGATGTCTCCTGGAGGATTGGCAACGCATCACTCCCAACGTCATCATACGTTTGACGACATCAGTCCGTAGGCGTGTTCTGGCATGTATTGATGCTCACGGTGGACATACCCGCTACTGACTTGACTTTGTGACGTGTGGTGTGACATTTCCCGTTGTTTCTGTGATCAGTGCTCTAACGAAACTTTTTTCGACCCCACCCATCTTTAAAGGCTTGTCATATTGGTTGTACAGATTTTATTGAAATGAAATTTTTGTACAGATGTTGTGAAAGGATTTCTCAAAAGCATAACACCAATCCTAAACTTCTGCATTGTTTAGTTTTTCTTTTATGTCGTTGCAAACAGGTGGTATCGTTTCTTTTGGACACTAGTTTAGATTTAAAACTCGATCAACTTGACATACAGATTGCTTTTTTTGCAACAGATTTCTTCATCTTCCACGTTCCATCCAATCTGATTAAAATGCACAGGCTACATTTATTTGTATGTCTCGATTCGGGTAGTGTAAAATCCGGAGATCGCAGACCTGTATAATCGGAACATCACAGACCCCAACTAGAATTAGCATACCCCCTATACTAGAATCCGCAGACGCCCTATACTATATTCCGCAGACCCAACTAGAATCTGCAGACGCCATATACTATATCGCGCAGACCCAACAAGAATCTGCAGACCCCCTCTACTAGAATACGTTGAACCAACTAGAATACGGAGACCCCCTAAACTATATCCCGCAGACCACCCTGTATAGGATCATGTACAGGAGTACGAGGTTCCTTCCTATAACCACCGTCGCCCTTTATAATTTATTTTTACAAGCAAATTATATGCGCCATGGCATCAACAGCAGGCATTTAATCCCAGTACTTTTGCACTGACATTTGGAATTTCCACACTGACCTGGATGCAGAATTTTTTTTCCTATGGAAGCACGGATTACATGTGTCTATAATTAGACTTGGATATGAGGTCATCCAGACACCCAGAGGTGTGTATTGCATAATAAGCGTTATGGTAGTTTTTACTTGCCAAGTTTATCAAAATCTGCTTTATGAAGCTCTGTGGGTTGACATCCTTGGGTGTTGGAAATGAGAAATGTTCAAAATTGATGCAAATTACATTATAATCGAAATTTTACGGTATCCTTATTTTGATTATTATATTGAAAAATCGAAGTGTCAACTATTTTATTCAATAGATATTTTATTGTAATATTGTGCATATATATGTTAGTATAAATTGGATTGTTGGAAAAACCATTCATCTGTCTCATTCACATTTATTTTACATAATAGGCTATCTATTGTCATGATCTTGATATCAACTCTAAAGCACTTTTAAAAAATAATTCTGTAACAAAATAACAACAAATTACAAAATAATTCTTTATCACGAACACAAAAATATCGTCTTTATTTTAAGGCACTTAAATACAAAATATTAGATTTCGCGTACACCACAATATTGTTCAGTTTTAAAGCACTTTTACCAAATAATTAAATGTTCTTTGAACTCAAAGATCAATCGGATTCAAAGCTGTGGACATCATAAGATATGTCAAATTACTGAGACCTTGCAAAATTCTATCACATGTACCATTCAGACATTATATAAAAATGAATTAAATAAAAAAATCTGCAGATTCTAGTAAAGGGGGTCTGCAGATTCTAGTATAGGGGGTCTGCGGAATATAGTATAGGGGGTCTGCAGATTCTAGTGGGATCTGCAGATTCTAGTATAGGGGGTCTGCGGATTATAGTATAGAGGATCTGCAGAATATAGTATAGGGATCTGCAGATTCTAGTATAGGGGGTCTGCAGATTCTAGTATAGGGGGTCTGCAGATTCTAGTATAGGGGATCTGCAGATTCTAGTATAGAGGGTCTGCAGATTCTAGTATAGGGGATCTGCAGATTGTAGTATAGGGGATCTGCGGAATATAGTATAGAGGGTCTGTGGATTCTAGTTGGGGTCTGCGCTCTTCCGATTATACAGGTTTGCGATCTTCGATCTTCGGATTATACATTACCCTCGATTCACGTTTCTTTTGTGGCTCACTCCATTTCTGTTGTTCATCCCTGTTCTGGGAAACTGGGTAGCCTAATATAATATTCAGCCATTTACAAGATTTTTGCTTAAAAGCACCTTGCTCTAGTTTTGTTCCTGAATATTTCTAGATATCAGCAGAAAGTTTCAAGATTAAATCACGCCAAATTCTATTCCCGTATGAATTTTAAATTCTGAATATATCTAATGTGTGTGTATACTCATACGTATTATATATATTTTATTGTGTTTAATCTATATCTAGTGCAGAAAAGTAGGACGTAAAACTCCATTCATTTCATTTCATTTAATCTATATCTATTAAGGTGTATTAAACTGCGAACAGAACACAGGGGTCAAATTTACAAGGTGTATTTATAAAGTGTAAAAAGTAGAATTCATTCATTTCGAAAAGTTTTGTCTCAGTCTAATTTTCGAGATGAATACAATCCTTGAAGTCCCAAATTATACGTGTCAAATCGTCCAGTTGCCGAAGTGTTCAGCCCTATATTCTGAATCTGAGCAAAATTTTCGAGTTAAAATCTGGCGTACATAGCAATCGAACGTACCCGATTGTTGTAACTCTTCTGTAGGGGAGGTTGATTTAAACTCTCACGTTGAAGCTAGAGAGTGGAATGGAAGAAAGCTGTCATAGTGTCTTCGTGTAATAAGTCAACTTGGAGTGACTTCCTGATTAAGATGTTGACTGTCTTTGACAATTCATGATGAAGTTTACCATATTTGTATTGTTATTTTGTTGTCTAGGGTCCGTGTGTCCCTCAGAACAAGGTCTGTATACTCGAGGAGATGGAATAAACGTACTGACAACAAACAATTTCGCGGATGTTGTTTTCAAGAAAGGAAGAAATTCAACTTGGTTGATACAGTTTTACAATTCTTGGTGTGGCCATTGTAGGAGATATGCTCCAAAATATAAGAAATTGGCCAAAGACATAGAAGGTAAGAACCAGAGGCAATTGAACTCAGCTTTTAAGACAATGGATTATTGAAATTCAAATTACCAGTTAGCTTTCCGTGGCCTATCTCATCTGTTAACTGTGTTTACAAAGATATCACTTTTCATAATAAAAATTGTCACACTTGGTTGGTCTTCAATTTAATGTCAGAACTGCTTTAAAAAAGTGATAAGACAAAATATATTGAAGCTAGGGTCAGTATGAGGTGGAGTGAAGTGTCCAGGGGATTTGTAAACTGGTATCGTACCTTGTTGTGTTCGCTTATCGCTACACAATAGGTACGGGCCTAAACCTCACAGTCAAAATATTGACAGTGGGATTTAGACGTGGAACCCCCATGACGTTAGTGTATGACATGAATTTCGACCAATCAAAGCCAAGATGACAAGAGCCCAAACCCATTCCTTCGATCCAAAACTTTAGATGGAATGGAAGATTAAATGATAAGATGCAATCAAAAAATCCTAGATGGTTTCACTAACATATTATTACTTGGTCAGTATGAGTTGGACTTTAGGCACTGATTAAGTTATTAATGCAATAATTCTTCTAATTTTGATTCAATACTTCACATTCTACAAAATAATTTTATTAAACAAGGTGGGGACTATTGATCATTATCTATTCATGGTATCACTGTTTTATAATGATGAAATTAACATCTGTTATAAATCTGTTGAAAATTGTGTTTTTTATAGACAATGTGTAATATATAACTATCTTGATATTCAACATATTACAATTTAAAATTTCATATTTTGATCAGTGAGACTTTATTGTGACATCCACTTTCGTTTCAATCCTAAATCTATACAGACTGGTTTTAAACACGCCGTGAATAATTTTTTGTTTGGAAAGAGCACTATGCAAGTGGCCATATAAGCAAATGTATTAATTGTACAGTGAAATAGAAATATTAAACATAACCTGAAACATGTTGTTACACCGTGTTTTACTCTGTCTGATCTTCATATTTCTATGATAATGAAAAATGATGACATTTTGAAAATTGGGTAGTTTCACATTTATGTCAAGATCAAAATTAAATTTTGAATTTAAAGAAAACAGTAAAATTGGACATCTTGTCCAAAGTTTATTTGGAGAACTTGCTAAAAAAGAAGAAACCTGACAATAATCTGCAAATTACACAATATTATTACCAATTATTGCTTGAGACATAAAGTTATAATTTCTTTTTTTATGAAGCAGGAACACTCTCCCTGTAACAGACCTGTATTTCCTTATTAAAATTGATTGGTTTTATTTCCCCTCAGGGAAGTGATTCAAGTCATATAATCTTAATTGATCTGATTTGATTGCCACTTGTTAAATTGAATAGATAAGATTTCTATCTTACATCAGGCCAAATCACAGACAGAAGATCAGAATAAAACTACATACAAGCTAATGATCAAAATGTGTTTATGCTGGCTGATTCTGACTTAAAAACTTCCAAGCTGTCACGCTGTGCTGTGTCAACATGTTGTCAGTTTGCTCCGTATGGATATACTATTCCCATAAAATTATATATTGATTGGAATTGGTTTTCAGTGCTGTTGAATATCTTTGAATGGGGCTTGGGCCAAAAGATTAAAGATTCTTAGTTATTGTCTGATATCTTTGGTTCCTGTAAATCTCAAAAATGTGATAAAATGATGGCAGCACCATAGCTGATTTGGCATACTTTCTGCAATAGATGAATTCTTGATTGTCCCTGATACACACAAACCGCATTTAAATATCTTAATCAAAATCCATACATGCCATATGCTGTCACGATTTTATGAAAAGTCATTATTAATGTAATTGTCCCCAGGTTTATATAGTTTAGTCAATTACATCATGATAATAGAACACTTATCGATACTTGACTATACCTTTCATTCCATAAAAAGTGGGGATTATTGACAAATGGAATCACAAATGTTTCGTACTGACTTGACTAAAATTGTTGGTAACTATATTTATAAGACAGTGGAAATAAAGTTATAAATCAATAGATATTGAAACCTTGAAGATAAAGTGTTAAATTTTATCCCATTACCCCATATCGTATATGTAGCGAATTGTGTCATATTTGTGAAGTGAGTTTTTGGTTTTTTCTTCTATATTAAAAGAAGGATAGTCCATGTTTAACGAACTTTCTTAGCTTATAAATTTTTCAAACATTTTCAACAGATTTTACTCTCCTTTTAGACAATTAGGATATTTCACTAAACCAAGGATATCTCTTCATACATCCACTTTCACCCTCAGATCCAATCTAGCTGTCCTGATGAAGAATTAATATCTGAAACACAGGTTAACTTGAGATGAGCACTAATTTAATGATAATTATTATTTTACAGGATGGTCGAAAGTCATGTCTCTAGGAGTAGTAGATTGTTCAGATAATGTAAATACTGAATTATGTAGAAAATATGATATAGCTGCCTACCCCACCATAAAGGTATGTAGAGCCTCAAGAAAGGTTTCTTTATAGGGAAATAGTCATCTAAATATTGACTGAAATATAAAAAAAGATTTATCTAATTAAAATGGGTTTCACTTATAATCACAGTGACAAACTATGTCTTATACCTTGACTGCAATAGCACACAAGGTCTTGTTTCATGGAGAACAGCAATTTGATTGGATTGTAGGTCATTGAATATAGCCCATCAGAGCCTTCGACAGAATGATTGTTAAATTATGTTAATTAAATCACTGCATTTTCAAACTTCCGTGATACAAGAAAGATGGCTAATGCAGTCAAGGTATAAGGTGAAGTTGGTAATAGCTGGACACTGCGAGATGGATTTCACTATTCCACAATGAATTCATCATGGGCATGGAGACAAAAAATATCAGAAAAAAAAGAAACTAAATTGTAATCAGAGTTAATGATACAACTGACAGACATCAATTTGTGCTATCACTTAAATCATTTTACAGAATAAAACAGTGAGATCTGATTCTCCTATAATTCATTATATCTTACTGTGTAAGGTCAGTAAGATGTCACCTCCAAGCTGTTATTTAATGTTTAGATATAATCAATATGATTTAGAATTATTGAGGTATAACAGAAAAAAAAAGTAGTATTTTATTTAGAGTTAAGTAAAAGTCATATTCATGGCCTAATTTGAATAATTTTAATCATTAAAGAGATTGTGAAGAGGTTTTCTAAATTTGTTATGTGTATCAGGGGCACTGATAGCATCAATTTGCTTCATTCGAATTTTTAATCAGATGTCTCACCAATCATACTTTAGTCTCAGAAACTGGAATTTTTTAGCTGAGCTATTCAATAATAGTGTTAACAGCTCACCGTTGAAATTTGAACCTTTCAATCTATGTGTGGCCAGAATTATCTGCATTTGAATGTTAAAATGACATCTCGTCAAGTTAAGATATATAGATAAGACAAATATAGAAATCGTGAGTAAAATTCCAAGTTAGAAGTATTTTTAAAGGAATTATGAGTTTTCGTACATTTCTAGTACTTCTGAAGACTAATTACATATATTCAAAACTAAAATCAACCCCCCAAAATGGCACAGCTGTCCCTTTAACAATAACTTTAAAGGAAACTGAAGCCATATTCATCACCCGAGTTGATATTGTTGTGTAAAAAGTCAAATGAGGACGTCATGTTTAATATATCTGATTTAACAGTGACATATTTTGTTATTGTATGATTTATTATGTAGATTACTCGCTCCTGAGGGGAAAATACCTGAAGCATTTGATTTCATCACAAACATCCTGAATTTAAACTAATTGGATGAAAGATTGAACATATAAAAGGTTACATACCAGGTTGCATGTTATCAATGTCAAGCAATTATCAACTTTGTTTTATACCTTGACTGCAATAGACACCTTTCTTCTTCATCAGGGAAGTATGTAAATGCAGCAATTTGATTGGATAGTACACTAGAGAGTACAGCGAATCAGAATCCTGGACAAAAAGTCTGTAAACAATAGGCCATTATGTTTATGGTTTGTCTGTCGAGGGCTATGATTGGTTGTATACGCTGATGTCCAATCCAATCAAATTGCTTCATTCAGTGATACAAGAAAAGTGGCTCTCGCTGTCAAGGTATAGGTTGATGTTCGTAGTAGCTTGACAGTGTGAAGATGACAAGGTTAATGTTTCACTCACAATTATCATTCAGAATTAAATATCGTGTTTTGATTTTGATTAAGTTAGAGTTTTAATTAGAGTTACTGTACTTTATAATGAGGAATTTTTTATTCTGGTGTTAAATGATATCTATAATAATTTATTATTATTATTATGATGTGAATACTAATTATTTAAAGTAATCATCCTATCCTAGGTGAGACTGGTTGTAACAACAATATGAAATTGATATTACAAAGCACAAACTGTGATGGAAATAAATCAGTTTTTAATAACCTACAAACCGATTTTAAAAAAAAAGGCAAATTGGAAATTTATATATACATAAACTGTTCTCCAAATTTTTTCTGTTTTCATCAGTTAAGACTGATTTCAGAAGCCCCAAATGGAACAGAAAAGTAGAATACAAAACTTTATATCATTCCTTCAGTTTAAACATAAGTTTCTTCCTTATTGCTGTATGAGGACAGTGATATTTGAAGATCTCATAGTGAAACACGTGATTCAAATTCGGTTTCAATATTTCTATTTGTTGATTTGAGTTAATTATACAAGGAAATAATAACAGACAGTACAGAATGATGTGTGATATTTGATTTAAAATGTTTTATTTAATTGGTCAGAAGTTTAAACTATTGTATAAATAATCTATTTGTCAACCAAGTCAGGGTACATTACTTACATACTTAACATTAACAATTTAACTCGTTATTTCACTCCAAATATTCTGTATCTTTCAGTTATTTGTCATTTGGTTAAAAGGCTACATTCTAAATTTTGTTTTACCAGCTGATATTTGACTTCTATTCCTTTGATTTGCCGATAAAACTTCAGAATAGTCCTCTAAACACAAGCTGTACTAGCCAAAATATAAGCTATACCAACTGATATCTGATTTTCTGTCCCCTAAACACAAGCTGTACTAGCCAAAATATAAACTATACCAACTGATATCTGATTTTCTGTCCTCTTAAACACAAGAACTAAACTATACCAACTGATATCTGATTTTTGTCCTCTAAACACAAGCTGTACTAGCCAAAATATAAACTATACCAACTGATATCTGATTTTTTGTTTTATTAAGTAGATTCAGAAAGAGAAAAGTTTTTCTATATAACATTCACTTTAATATTGATTTCATGGAATTTTTCATTTCAGTTTTTCCCACTGAATGTTTCACCGAATAAAACCAAAATGGAGACTGTTCCAGCCCTAGATCCCAACGAACTGAGACTTACCTTGTCTCAAATAGTCAACAATTTACACTTGAAGAAAAGGCATAAATCCTGGCCCAAACTTAAACCATTAAGGTATTGTATTATTTATGAATAACTCAATAAGTTAGCTTGCCCAAAGTCCAATTTTTGAAGGTTACCTTCATTTCTAATGAACCTGTCTTGATGAGGATTTTATATCTGAAACATGTGTTTGATCTATTCAGTAATATCACTAATTGTATAATTAGTATAGAATATAGTATATTGCACACCCCTTCTTTATCTCTTTAAACATCAAAATAAGACAAGATGACCAGATACATGTACAAATGTACAAAATATAAATAAATAAAAGAAATCTATAAATCATATGCAATCTGGACTTCACTACAAATACAATTATTAAAGGGAGAGATGTGCCATTCTAGGGGAGTGATTTTAGTCTTGAATGTAATCATAAATACTTCAAACTAGGAATTTTATTCACTATTTCTGTATGCCTTTCTATATATCACAGAGTATCATAAATTGATGAGTCATCATTTTACCATTCAAACGCAGATAATTACAGATAATTCTGGACACACATGGATTTGAAGGCTCTAATTTCGATGGTGAGCTGTGAACACTATTACAGATTGGCTTAGCTGAAAAATTTACATTTCTGAAACTAACGTATGATTGGTCAAAAAAATGGCGCCTCTGTCCCTTTAAGTCATGAAAGATGCCACATATACAAGTTTGAAATGGCTGAAACCCCCGACACCTGTGACATTGGTGTTTAACTCTACGTCATTGACTCCTGTCATTGAATCTGAATAGCTTTAATATTACGCTAGTATTAAATCTATAAATTATATTATAAAAATATCGTATTTATTGAATGTAAAATAAACTTTTAAACCTTGAGTCTTTTAAAACCTTTTTCAGAAAATTAAAAAAATATATTTAACCATCAACTTTGAATGAAATGTGCATTAATATTTCAACAAGCAATATTCATGTCTTAAGAAATCTGTATGAAATATAATATGGTATTGTTGGTATTTAGGGCACATTGAAACAAGATTAAGGTTAGGATGTATTGAGATAAGTTTCAATGAAAGCACTGGCCTATGACTCTATGGTGGTAAGGATGTGCATTCTTATGACTCCAGGGTGGTAAGGATGTGCATTCTTATGACCTTAGTGTGGTAATGGAATATATACTTATGTGGTCTTAGAGCAATAGATAAGCTCATTGATCATGTGAAAATTAGTTACTTTTTATTAAGAATTTTCTATGTCTAATTGTATAGAGAGTATAACTAAGTTTTTTGCATGTTCTTTTGTCACTGAGTTAGTATTGAGGTGTATAGAGACGAGTCTCTATGAAAGCACTGGCCAAGGTCAGAGCAGTATATAAGCTTATTGATCATGTAAAATGTCTGTCTGAATGTTCACAAGAGTATTACTAAGTTTTTTGCATGTTCTTTTGTCATTGAGTTGAAAAGGATTGGAGACAAGACAATGAAGTTTAAAAGCTTTATGTTCATTGTTTAAAACCTTTGTTAAAATCTAACAATAGGCATTTACAAATACATTGTACAAAAATGGACTAAGAAATCTTTTAATGTTTTAAATATTAATGAGAGGAGCCCCCAGTTCAGTCCCGATCGGTTCAAAATATTTATTAGGGTGTTTCGCTTTGTTATTCTTTTGCAGTTTCAAGACAGTTTATCTACTGAATTGACTCATTCTATGCAATACTGCAAAACTTTGGGTTGCCATTTTGTTAGCTTCTTTGTGGCATGGTAGAATATATTTTTTTTATAATAATATTGATATATTGAGAGCACACTCCATAAATTATCTCTACAAAAACATAATTATAAAAGAGTACAACATAAAGAGTATAACATAATAGAAATATTAACACATAAAAGAGTATAACTAGGGTGTACAATAACCAAATATTTAAGAGATGGGTTCCCTTATTTTTATTTATGAAAATGAAAATGCTAATACTTATATGAATAGAAAGTACAGGTGTTCTAATAACTTGGAAAAATACCAGTTTGTCTCCATAATTAATTCATAATTAGCTAAATTAGAAGAGAATTATCAGCAGAATTCCAATGAGTGACAGATCAAGAAAAGGTCAAAAAGTTTTTTTTTTTGTTTATCCAGACTGTACATACATAGACAATTATGATTGGTCAAAACTCTTAATTATATGCTATAAGAACATAATGATATGATTAAGAATACGTGATAATTTATTAGAAACAACAATTAATCAAATAGTTGGCTTAATTTGACAATAAAAAATAAGGAAACCCATCTTCAACAGTTAAAATTGTAGAGCGATATAGAAACATCATGATTCAGGTTCTGTTGTAATATTTCTATCTATTATATTATATAATAATATTACAGGTCTATAGAAGAGATATGGGAGGAAGCTAAGTCAGAACATAAACATGTTATATTGATATTCGAAGAGCAGAATTCTTTACTGGGTGTTCAGGTAACTACATCTTATATTGATTTATGTCTTGTACATATCAACATGCTCTAAAGAAACAACAGGAAAGAAAGAAGCAACCATTGTTTTACATTGATAATTACTTAGGTTCATGAGGATCATTTCCATTAGCTGGTCCTTGGCCAAACCTCTTAGTATTCGATTGATTTGAAAGAAGCAAAATTTTTTTACATGGATAATTTCTTTACTTCAAGAGGATCTTTTATATGAGCTAGTCCTTGGCCAAACCTCTTGGTATCTATCTTCTCCGGATTGTCTGTATCCGACTGTCTGTGCGCGGTAGGTCATCCTTAATACTATTTATACTAACTAAAAATAAAACTGCTCAAGTTTTTGTTCAGACCTGGATGAGCAAAAATATCTAAACTGATTAAGCAATTGTTTTGAAGACTATATCTTATATATTCATATTTATATTGTAGTTGATATTGGACTATATGACAGAAAAGAAAGTATTAATATTTATATTGTAGTTGATATTGGACTATATGACAGAAATGAAAGTATTAATATTTATATTGTAGCTAATACTGGACTATATGACAGAAATGAAAGTATTATGACAGAAAAGAAAGTATTAATATTTATATTGTAGTTGATATTGGACTATATGACAGAAATGAAAGTATTAATATTTATATTGTAGTTGATATTGGACTATATGACAGAAAAGAAAGTATTGTTAAGGAGATTACTGAAAGAAACTGTAGTAAAATATGGTATAAATAAAATACCATCATTATATGTAGTCAATACTGATGGTACATACAATCATATAGCAAGGTGAGTTAGAAATTTTAAAACAGAACCTGAAACATGTTGTTACTTAGAGTTTCAAGCTGTGCGTTTTTCAGAAAACTCTAGAACTTTTGGCTTGTGGTGTTGCCTGTTTTATGGAGCCCTATTAGATGCAGAAGAGTAAAACTCCATTCATTTCATTTCATAACAAAGTTTGTTGTTATTTCTAATGGTATTGGAGTAAGCATTGATACAGATAGAACTTCTCTCATTGCACACTGCATACCGTTAACTGTTTTCATTAGCCCAATTGGATGCAGATCGAGTAGGACATTTAACTCCATCACAAAGTTTGATATTTTTTCTAGTGGTATTGGAGTTGATGTTGATACAGATACAGATAGAACAACGTTTAGAGAGGCTATTAACAACCTCATGAAAAATAATTTTAAAACCAAAGAAGAGAATAAAGTAGTTATTAATAAAGATGGAAAAGTTGAGATTCCAGAAAGCATAATGGGGGCAGGAGATGGTCCTAAAGATGATGATGTGAAAATTAAAGAAATAGAAAAGTATGCAAAGTTTATAATTTTCTTACCATTTTTAAGAAACCTAGGATTTTATACTAGTTATATCACAGTGAGCCCCCTTGACAATTATGTGGCCCTTACTAGTACTCAGTCCTGTCACAGGGTGTAATGACACTTTACTCAATACTAGTTCTTATTAGTGTAATGATTTTATTTCAGACCACAAGTATATCTACAAGATTTAGAATCAGCGTTACATTATTCGTTCCGTCAGGAGATCGCTATCTGTAAGGAAATTAGTGGTGATAAATTAGCTGCTCTTCAAAACTTTGTATCTGTACTATCAAAGGTTGGTAGCTATAGTTTTTATGGGTTTATCGCTGTGATAATGGGTCTTGTTTATGGGTTGTATTGTATAATTGCGAATATGGTGAGATGTGTATAATGCACAAACAAAATGGTGCATCTCAAACATTGATATGCATTTTTTTTCTGGTAGAAAAAAAGTACAACAAATTTATTTCACTGTATATAGTGCACACCCTTTCTGTAAGGAGTATTCACACAAATATACAGTACCGGTATTTCAACTTAATATACCAGTAGAAATTAGAGGTGTATGAAGTAAAATCTTTATGGCTAAGAAGTGGGCAGAGGGAGCCACTTTTTATAACCACAAAAATTTAACTTAATATTTTCTAACTTATTTAAAATAGTTGGAAATTTAACCAATGCTGATTGGATGAAAAATTTGGTTAGGTTCTAATTGCTTTTATGAAATTCATGTCATCTGTACTTTCTGAAAATGACTATTTCTTTTTAATTTAACACATTTCTACTGTGTTAGAGACCAAATTAATAAATGTCAGATTTTTTCGAACCAGCTAATCAAGACAATTTTGATTATTATTCAGTATTTACCAGGCAGAGATGAAATAAAAAGATTTTTACAGCAAGTCAGTGATTGGTTAACAACAGTTACTACAGTTATATCTGGAGGGGAATGGGTCCACGGCATAGATAATTTACAGGTATGTTAAATGTAGCTAATATAGCATACTATATTGCATACAATATAGCATAGATTATAGCATGGACAACCTAAAGCTATGTTAGCCTGTACCATGGATTATAGCATGGACAATTTACAGATATGATTAACATAGCATAAAATATAGCATGGATTATAGCATTGTGAAATTATACCATATATTTAGTATACTCTATAGGTATGTTCAACATAGATTAAATAGCATTGAATATAGCATAGCATGACATATAGCTTAGATTAGATTACACCATAGAATATAGCATGGGCTATAGCATTGTGTAATTATACCATTATAATAAGCATACTCTGCAGGTATGATTAGCATAGCTTAGATTATTCCATGGAATATAGCATTGAATATAGCATAGCTTGGATTATGCCATGTAATTTAGCATACTTTATGGCATAGATAGTTAAAAGTTTAGTTCGAAACAAGACTTTCCTTTAGCAAAATTACTATCATTGCATACTGCAAGGTGTTGCCTGTCTTTATAGTCAAATCTGGAGCATGGAAAAGTAGAATTTAGTTGATTTCACTTTGTATTTTTTTTATTTTATTATCACCAGGATGAAATGGCCTATCTACCTGAGACAACAGAGTGGAGAGGGTGTAAAGGGAGTGAACCCCATTATAGAGGCTACCCGTGTAGTATGTGGACATTATTTCATACCCTGACAGTCAATGCCTATTTATCAGATAAAGGTAGGTAACTCTTGTTATTAGCCTACATAACACAATGGTGACACTATCTCAACCAAACATTCATTATAATAGTTTGCTTAATTTGATTCTAAAAGATAAGGAAACCCATCTTTAAGGGCTTTATTGAATCATTCCAATTTCCCTGTCTGTTATTCCTATAATTATAGAAATGATTAGTTATATGATATCACTATTACATATGTTGTTAAATAATATATAACAGCTTTGAAATAACATAGTCATAAAACACATTTGAGGAATTGCAAGAACCACAGAAATCTGATTGATAATTGGAATGATGCTATGAAAACTTCTTTACAATCTCTTTATATTCAATCTTTAACAAAATAGTAAGCCTTACAATGGTATGATAGCATTAATTATAATTTTATTTCATCATAATTAATTTGTATATTATAGTTGTAGATAATCAAGAAGTATTAAAAGCTATTAAAGGTTATATGGAATATTTTTTTGGTTGTGCCGAATGTTCCACTAATTTCTTACAAATGGCTAAGACTATAGAAAGTGAGATAAATAACAAGAAGGATATGGTTTTATGGCTATGGAGTGCTCATAATAAAGCGAATATAAGACTTCACGGAGATCTTTCCGAGGATCCACAATATCCTAAAATACAGTTCCCGTCTCCAGATGCTTGCCCAAAATGTTTTGAGTTGGGAAGTAAGCCGTGGAGTCCAAAATACCGAAATACTGAAGTATTGAATTTTATAGTTGAAATGTACAGTGGTGAAAACCTAGTTAAAACATTCCTGAAGGAGGATAAAGAAAAAACATTACTTCGATCTAAATCCAAGACGGACCATCGACAACTAGATTGGTGGGAGAAAAAACAGCGGCAACAAGACTTAAAACAATTACAAAATATACATAAACAAAAACACGATAGAATCATTGCTAAAGCTGTCGATGAATATAGAACTAAGAATTATGTTCGGAGACAAAAGATAGAGCGGCACCCCCACGGAATGCCTGGTAGAACCTCCTGGGGGTTAAGTACTGTTGATTTAGGGATGTGTTTTGCATTCTATGTTATTTGTGCCGTCATTGTCTTAATGCTTTATTATCATTTTACAATCAGAACTAAACGTAAAACCGTGTGTAAATTTTTACCCGTATGACTAGCTGGAGTCATTATTGTGATATTTTTGATTTTAATTCTGTTTTATTTTAAACACTATTGTTATATTATTAAGAAATTGTTGTGATTTTAGTCACCCTGTTGAATGAAAGGGGAAATGGGTTAGTCCAAATTGTAGCTCGTTAAATAAAAATGAATCTACCAAAGAAAAATTATTTGATCCTTGTTTTATTTTTTTTTTTGTGATTTACTTCACATGACATCCTTGATCTGACAAAATTCTTCTTTAGGTTGAGTTCAGTCAAAATTTTAACCTTTATTTAGAAAGGGGTAATGGTTTAAAATAGTAGCCAGTTAACGGAAACTTTTTTCATAGTTTTTTGCGATTTACTTCACATGACATCCTTGATCTGACAAAATTCTTCCTTAAGTTGTGTTCAGTCAAAATTTTTAATTGAAGCTAGTTAATTAAGTACAAGTAATATCAAAGAAAAAAATTATTTTGATTCTTGTTTCATGGGTTTTTTGTGATTTACTGAAAATGACATCCTTGATCTGACAAAATTCTCCTTCCAAATTGTGTTCAATTTTGGAATGGAAAGGGGTAATTGGTTTAATTTTGTTCAGTCAAAATTTGAATCTGTCGTGCAAAAGGGGTAATGGGTTAGAACTTGAAGCTAAGTAAATTAAAGATGGGTTTCCTTATTTTTTAGTGTCAAATTTAGCAAACTATTTTATTAATTGGTGTTTCTAATAAATTATCATGTATTCTTAATCATATCATGTTCCTATTGCAGTTTTAACCAATCATAAATGTCCATGTATGTACAGTCTGGAAAAGCAAAAAAAGCTTTTTTGATCTTTCTGGATTGGTCACTCATTGGAATTTTACTGATAATTGGAACACCTCTACTTTCTATTCATATAAGTATTAGCATTTTCATTTTCATAAATGAAAAAAGGGAACCCATCTTTAAGAATGATTTTAATCATTGTATTAAAATACCAAAGAAACTAATTTTGTGACAATCTGATTAAAATACAGATCTAGTTGTGTCATTTTTTTTTTTTTATTTGTGGGTTACTACACTCAATCATCCTTCATCTGACAAAATTCTTCTTTAAATTTGTAAGAATTAGATCATTAAAAATTTGACCAATGAGGAGAAATTAATTTAAATTGTCACATTGTGGAAATGTTCATTTTTGATTGTCTATAAATTATGCATATATTAATTAGTTTTCATGTTGAACAACTTGATTTTTATTAAAACTGAATAAGAATTCAGTAGATCATATTAGTCCAGTAAGTATTAGAATGTTAAATCTTGTTATATGATTATTATGTATAATTTGTGGTTATGGGCTGCAATATGTATGCAATATAAGGATGAAAAATGATTTATTTAAATGACACATAGATTATGTGTTAAAAATTCTATACAAGCTTCAAACTTGTCATATGTTTTGGGGCACAGATGTATTTAATATGAAAAATGAAGAAACGTTAATAATTTAAGTAAAATTGTTACAGAGATAAATTACAATAATAAAAAATTTTCATTGTTAAAATAGTGCTCAATACAATTGTAGAGCAATATAGAAAGTACAAGAAAGAAACTCAGAGTTTCACCTTGTGTTATCTGAAGATCATACAGCGTGAAACTCTGAGTAACAACATGATTCAAGATCTCTTTTTAAAATCTCTTAATCTTCAAAAATATTTATAACTGAAGATGGTATTAGTATGATTTTATTTTTGTTCTCTCTTTTTTTGAGGTAGTTTAAGTAGAATAAAGAGAAGATCTCACTTTCCAGGCTGAAATATAGTGGAGTGTAGACTTGTCCAGGGCCTTTATTCTTGAAAACTTAACTTCATATTTTCAAGTGTTCCAGTCATATGATTGGTCAGTCACTTAAATTGATTTTAAATTTAGTTTTGTTATCTAATCAGATTAGTTTATTTCTTAAACCTGGATTTTATTTAAGTTTAGTTTTTAAAAATAAGGTCCCAGATTGAACAAAAGTAGAGCGTAATATGAATTAGTCACTCTTGTTTGTATATATAGTCAAGATTAGTCCCTGACTCTGCTTGCCCTGAATATATTTGCCTAACTAGAATTGGTCTCAAGGTTTGTAAATTTTGGTTTGTCTCAATGTGACACAAAAAGATATAAAGAGTTTTAAGATGTGAGAAATATACTCATTTTCTGTCTGTTAACTTTTAATGTGAATCTGAGACACTGATAGCATCAATTTGCACCATTCCAATTTTCAATCAGACGTCTGTGATTCTTGTTATTTCCATTCAACTAAGCATTTTATGACATCCCTGTCTCAAAAACTTTTATTGATATATAAGAACCTTTATAAAAGTGTTCTCATAAAACACCTAATTTTACAGGAATTGCAAAAACTTTTTAAAAATTTTAGGAAGCGTCTTTACAATCTCTTACAATATGTGTTTCTATGTGTCTCTTTGTGTTTTTTTTCTCATCAAATGTTTTATCTAAAGCTCAAATAAAATTATTGAAATGTTTTATAAGAAATGGCATTTAATGTTTATTTCTTTGTATCTGTGAACTTATCTAGAAGTTGAGGGCTTCTAACTTAACAAACACCTCTCTCTTAACCTTGCTCAGCCCCTGGGCCATAAAACATTTCTCATGCTTAGCTTAGTTTATACTCAAATTCATAATACCCCTTCTATAAAAGGTAAAATTTGTAGATTAAGGTAATAATACCAGTAACATTATGTCCTAAGGAATAGATTGATATATTTTTCCTTGAAACAATCATTTATGCATGACTATTAGCTGTTTCAAATTCGAGTAAAATCTTGCTAAGTATGAAAATAGAGTTTGATCTAACAAATATATCTTAGAAAATTGGCCTGGGAGAGGGTGGTGAGAGAGATGTTGGTCTGGGGTAAAAATATATACCGTTCTGTTTTAGTACATTCAACAGTAAATTGAATTGAAATAATATTTTTTTATGTTAATAGAAAATATCATTTGATGTAAAACTGAAAGAAATTTCCAGTCAAAACTTTTAGGTTGAAATTTCTGGTTATATTCTTGCAAAATTTAGTATTTTTTACCATTCTAAAATCTTCAGTACTATTTTGAAGCTGATTTTCCATTTCATTTAAAACTCTTCATTAAAATGTTGATATACATGGAGAGTTTGATCACAATAAGTCTAATTTCTGGAGTGACAATGGTCTGTATTTGTCTTAATTTATATCAATTCTGTACTTAAATTATACAATATCTACTCTGATAGAATAAACTGATTTATCATTCCAAATTATATTTCTATATTTTTATTAAATAGAGTTTAAGTACCCAGTTTCCCCCTGTTCAGATTGGAAAATAAACCAACGCCCCATGTGGTACAGACTGTGAGAGTTAAAGATCCCTCGACAGTTGTAAATCAAACAAGAGTAGGCCAATGCCACTGTCCTGGCGATTACTCTCATGGCTCACTGTATTTTGTTGTTCGTCTTAGCCCAATTAGGTGCAAAAGAGTAGAGTTTGTTTACATTTCTAGTTTACCACTGTCCATTTGTTTACAGTTCTAGTTTACCCCACTGTCCCTTTGTTTACAGTTTTAGTTTACCACTATCCTTTAGTTTACAGTTCTAGTTTACCACTGTCCCTTTGTTTACAGTTCTAGTTTACCACTGTCCCTTTGTTTTCAGTTTTAGTTTGGCCCACCGTCCCTTTGTTTACATTTATAGTTTACCACTGTCCCTTTGTTTTCAGTTTAATTTACCACTGTCCCTTTGTTTACAGTTCTAGTTTACCACTGTCCCTTTGTTAACAGTTCTAGTTTACCACTGTCCCTTTGTTTTCAGTTTAAGTTTACCATTGTCCCTTTGTTTACTGTTCTAGTTTACCACTGTCCCTTTGTTTACAGTTTTAGTTTACCACTGTCCCTTTGTTTACAGTTCTAGTTTACCACTGTCTCTTTGTTTACCACTGTACCTTTGTTTTCCGTTTTTGTTTACCACTGTCCATTTGTTTTCAGTTTTAGTTTACCACTGTCCTTTTGTTTTCAGTTCTAGTTTACCCCACTGTCCCTTTGTTTTCAGTTTTAGTTTAATTTACCACTGTCCCTTTGTTTTCGTTATAGTTTACCACTGTCCTTTTGTTTTCCGTTTTAGTCTACCACTGTCCCTTTGTTTTCAGTTTAATTTACCACTGTCCCTTTGTTTCCAGTTCTAGTATACTCCACTGTCCCTTTGTTTTCAGTTTTAGTTTACCACTATCCTTTGTTTTCAGTTCTGGTTTACCCCACTGTCCCTTTGTTTTCAATTTTAGTTTGCCACTATCCTTTTGTTTTCAGTTTAATTTACCACGGACCCTTTGTTTTCAGTTCTAGTTTACCACTGTCCCTTTGTTTTCCGTTTTAGTTTACCACTGTCCCTTTGTTTTCAGTTCTAGTTTACCACTATCCTTTTGTTTTCAGTTTAATTTACCACTGTCCCTTTGTTTACAGTTCTAGTTTACCACTGTCCCTTTGTTTACAGTTCTAGTTTACCACTGTCCGTTTGTTTTCAGTTTAAGTTTACCATTGTCCCTTTGTTTACTGTTCTAGTTTACCACTGTCCCTTTGTTTTCTGTTCTAGTTTACCCCACTGTCCCTTTGTTTTCAGTTTTAGTTTACCACTGTCCCTTTGTTTTCAGTTCTAGTTTACCACTATCCTTTTGTTTTCAGTTTAATTTACCACTGTCCCTTTGTTTACAGTTCTAGTTTACCACTGTCCCTTTGTTTTCAGTTTTAGTTTACCACTATCCTTTTTTTCAGTTCTAGTTTACCCCACTGTCCCTTTGTTTTCAGTTTAGTTTACCCCACTGTCCCTTTGTTTTCAGTTTTAGTTTACCACTATCCTTTTTTTCAGTTCTAGTTTACCACTGTCCATTTGTTTTCAGTTTTAGTTTACCACTATCCTTTTTTTCAGTTCTAGTTTACCCCACTGTCCCTTTGTTTTCAGTTTTAGTTTACCACTATCCTTTTTTTCAGTTCTAGTATACCCCACTGACCCTTTGTTTTCAGTTTAGTTTACCACTGTCCTTTTGTTTTCAGTTTTAGTTTACCACCGTCCCTTTGTTTACACTTCTAGTTTACCACTGTCCCTTTGTTTTCAGTTTAGTTTACCACTGTCCCTTTGTTTTCCGTTCTAGTTTACCACTGTCCCTTTGTTTTCAGTTCTAGTATACCCCATTGTCCCTTTGTTTTCAGTTTAGTTTACCACCGTCCCTTTGTTTACATTTCTAGTTTACCACTGTCCCTTTGTTTTCAGTTTAGTTTACCACTGTCCTTTTGTTTTCAGTTTTAGTTTACCACCGTCCCTTTGTTTACATTTCTAGTTTACCACTGTCCCTTTGTTTTCAGTTCTAGTTTACCCCACTGTCCCTTTGTTTTCAGTTTTAGTTTGCCACTATCCTTTTGTTTTCAGTTTAATTTACCGCGGACCCTTTGTTTTCAGTTCTAGTTTACCACTGTTCCTTTGTTTTCAGTTCTAGTTTACCCCACTGTCCCTTTGTTTTCAGTTTTAGTTTACCACTATCCTTTTATTTTCAGTTCTAGTTTACCCCACTGTCCTTTTGTTTTCAGTTTAATTTACTACTGTCCCTTTGTTTTCAGTTCTAGTTTACCACTGTCCTTTTGTTTTCAGTTCTTGTTTACCCCGCTGTCCTTTTGTTTTCAGTTTTAGCTTACCCTACTGTCCCTTTGTTTTCAGTTTTAGTTTACCATTGTCCTTTTGTTTTCAGTTCTAGTATACCCCACTGTCCTTTTGTTTTCAGTTCTAGTTTACCCCACTGTCCTTTTGTTTTCCGTTTTAGTTTACCACTGTCCTTTCGTCTTCAGTTTTAGTTTACCACTGTCCTTTGTTTTCAGTTTTAGTTTACCACCGTCATTTTGTTTTCAGTTTAATTTACCATTGTCCCTTTGTTTTCAGTTTTAGTTTACCCCACTGTCCCTTTGTTTACATTTCTAGTTTACCATTGTCCCTTTGTTTACATTTCTAGTTTACCATTGTTCCTTTGTTTTCAGTTTTAGTTTGCCCCACTGTCCCTTTGTTTTCAGTTTTAGTTTACCCCCACTGTCCCTTTGTTTTCAGTTTCAGGTTACCACTGTCCCTTTGTTTACAGTTCTAGTTTACCACTGTCCCTTTGTTTACAGTTTTAGTTTACCACTGTCCCTTTGTTTACATTTCTAGATTACTACTGTCCCTTTGTTTTCAGTTTAATTTAGCACTGTCCCTTTGTTTTCAGTTTTAGTTTACCACTGTCCCTTTGTTTTCAGTTCCTGAATATAGTTTAATAGAACCATAACTTTCCATTTGTTTAGACCGAGTCCATAATGGTGTCCATCTTGACTCCTAACTCCGTGAGTCATGTCGTAGGTGTTAAACTGGGGAATATTTACACTATCTAAATATTTACCGGTTTCTTTCATGAAACGCAACACGTCAACTTTTCTTTGTGGGTAATGATTGGCTTTAAGAAAACCGTAATTACTCGGGGTGGCCCACAATAACTTTGTCCTCGAGTGTTGAAATGACGAGTGAAGTTTTTTCAAGGGTTTCAGATATGATTCAATAACCGCTGTAGAGTTATAATTGTCGTGAACACCAACTCCAAAAAATACCAATGATTTGGAAGATTTTGAAACTTATTTAAGAAGCTGTGCGGTCTCATTCAGATTCCGCACATTCTTGTATACCCTCATAATGAGCTTCACCCTTCCACCGCACACTGTGATATCTCTTATGATGTAATGGCGACATGACCTGTCTATTAATATCGCCATATTTGAACGCTTTTTCCGCTTTTCTGAAATAGAAAAATACAAAAATGAATAAAACAATTTGCAAGCCACGACCCACCTAGTGTCTGTCATCAAGGGTCGGAAGTCAGTGAGTCGATTGTCATTCTTGTACCCCGATTTCCAAACCCGGTCCAGAGTTGTCGAGACAATGGTAGCTGTATTTATTCAAATACACATGTTGCTCTTGATTGGGTGGTTTCGAATGGACAGAAAGAAACAACTATATTTTACAAGTCTAACAACTTAGCTTCACAGTTAAGAATCCTTTCTGCCAGCTGGTCCTTGGCCAAAACTCTTGCCATTGACCTTTCCTGGATTATCCGTACCCATTTACAGCTGGGTCGACTGGAATTATGATTGAAGATGACTTATTCAAGGTTATCGTACTATCTTATCACACATCGATCGAGATAGGAACCCAAAGCCGCCATTTGCTCGACGTAGCCAAGCAAATGATGTCATTTAAAACCCAACGCTCTAACCCCATCCCTTAATAAATTGTTTGGTTTAATGGTTTACCTTTTGGAATGTGTAGGTCCAACGCTCCATCTATATAGTTATTCTGTAGTAATAACAACAGAGCGATAAAGATGTGTCGCACCATAGAATCTCCCATAAAAACCATCACATGGTCTGACAACAACTCACAGGCTTCGTTTTGATTGTACACTTTTACCGTACATCTTCTGTCAAAGGGAATCCAATCTGCATATTCAGCAATAATTCTTGTCCGTAGATCCAAACAATTGTCACAGATACACTCATCTGAGTGACTGGGGTTTTTACACTTTTTTCCACTGCTACTAATAATGATATGAAATAACGGAGTTCTACCTTCGTCATAGTAATTTTTATGACAACGACTTGTACAATACACACACGACTGGCTGGCTTTTGGGGGCTAGTTAGTTGGTAAATGACAGTGCAGGTAGTAATACAGTCTTTATTGTTATAGTCTGACAACTAATTAAGAAACTAATCCAACTGCAATCAACAAATCGACAAACCCCAAGCTTGAAATCAGTTATTAGGCTTATTAATTACCATTCAACAGAAGGCACTGAAACAAGATTAAGATTAGTGTAATTGGTAAGAGATTAGCGTGGTTGAAATTAACTATTCAATTGTTGTTACTGACATAAGTTAGGACAAAAGATTAGCAGGCCCGTTAATTAAATAAACTAGCTGACTATTACCTAGTCTCTGATAGATATTATACTAGTCTGAAACTAACTGACTCTTACCTAGTCTCTGATAGATATTATACTAGTCTGAAACTAGCTGACTCTTACCTCGCCTCTGATAGATATTATAATAGTCTGGAACTTACTGACACCTACCTAGTCTCTGATAAATATTATACTAGTCTGAAACTAGCTGTCTCTTACCTAGTCTCTGATAGATATTATACTAGTCTGAAACTAGCTGACTCTTACCTCGCCTCTGATAGTTATTATACTAGTCTGAAACTAGCTGTCTCTTACCTAGTCTCTGATAGATATTATACTAGTCTGAAACTAGCTGACTCTTACCTCGCCTCTGATAGATATTATAATAGTCTGGAACTTACTGACACTTACCTAGTCTCTGATAAATATTATACTAGTCTGAAACTAGCTGTCTCTTACCTAGTCTCTGATAGATATTATACTAGTCTGAAACTAGCTGACTCCTACCTAGTCTCTGATAGATATTATACTAGTCTGAAACTTACTGACTCTTATACCTAGTCTCAGATAGATATTATACTAGTCTGAAACTAGCTGTCTCTTACCTAGTCTCTGATAGATATTATACTAGTCTGAAACTAGCTGTATCTTACCTCGCCTCTGATAGTTATTATACTAGTCTTTAACTTACTGTCTCCTACCTAGTCTCTGATAAATATTATACTAGTCTGAAACTAGCTGACTCCTACCTAGTCTCTGATAGTTATTATACTAGTCCAAAACTAGCTGACTCCTACCTAGTCTCTGATAGTTATTATACTAGTCTGAAACTAGCTGACTCCTACCTAGTCTCTGATAGTTATTATACTAGTCTCAAACTTACTGACTCTTACCTAGTCTCTGATAGATGTTATACTAGTCTCAAACTTACTGACTCTTACCTAGTATCTGATAGATATTATACTAGTCTGAAACTAGCTGAAACTTACCTAGTCTCTGATAGTTATTATACTAGTCTCAAACTTACTGACTCTTACCTAGTCTCTGATAGATATTATACTAGTCTGAAACTTACTGACTCTTACCTAGTCTCTGATAGATATTATAATAGTCTGAAACTAACTGACTATTACCCAGTCTCTGATAGATATTATACTAGTCTGAAACTAGCTGTCTCTTACCTAGTCTCTGATAGATATTATAATAGTCTGAAACTAGCTGACTCTTACCTAGTCTCTGATAGTTATTATACTAGACTGAAACTTACTGACTCTTACCTAGTCTCTGATAGATATTATACTAGTCTGAAACTTACTGACTCTTACCTAGTCTCTGATAGATATTATGCTTGTTTGAATCTTACAAAACAATGCAAGATTAGCAGGCCCGTTAATTAAATAAACTAGCTGACTATTACCTAGTTTCTGATAGATATTATACTAGTCTGAAACTAGCTGACTCTTACCTAGTCTCTGATAGATATTATACTAGTCTGAAACTTACTGACTCTTACCTAGTCTCTGATAGATATTATACTAGTCTGAAACTAACTGACTCTTACCTAGTCTCTGATAGATATTATAATAGTCTGAAACTAACTGTCTCTTACCTAGTCTCTGATAGATGTTATACTTGTTTGAATCTTACAAAACAATACAAAATTATTTTCATATGAACAAAGTACTTGAAAGAGAATGACTTTTAAGTTTATGATTTGTTTAGGTTCCTATTTGTTAGAATCAAACCAACTTTTTGTATATTTCTGAATATGTCTGTTGAATAGTAAATTTTTATTTTCAAGTACCCTAACACTTATCGCTCAGTAGTGCGTGTCGACTTTTTGTTTACATGTCCGCGAACTGTAACCATATAAGCTGGATTACCATTAACAATGGACGAGGACTTGTCATCTACAAACCAACTAACTATCCAAGCGTGCATTGGACAAGTAGTTGTTTGACCAGGTAGCATGTGGAAGGTAAGCGCTGTTTTTTCTTTTCTTTTTTCATTGAAAAAGTTTTTTGATTCTTATCGAATGTAACATGGGATAACAAATTGTTTTATTTATTTTGACTTTTGCATGTTAATTCCTAGAATTCGAATGGTATATTACATCCGAATATCACGTCGGACGAACTGGGTAGGGTCACATTTGTCGGACTAGATCGTAGGTTTTCAACCACAGGGACATGACCCAAGGTCGGGATAATTTTCACTTTTCTTTGGCTATGAAAAAAAAACTTCCAACTACAATATATTAATTATACAACATCTCATATGATGACTACACTATACACAGCCTAAATTAACATTGTCTAGAAGTAGGCTTATAGAGAATTATTACTATCAAACTATGCGAGAACGTGCCCGATATCCAATCGTAGATACGCTTTCTATATTTGGGGACATCATATTCATGTTGATTCGATTTGGGGACACATAAAAAAACAGGTTGAAAACCACTGTGCTAGATAAATACTAAAGCCACATTGAGGGGAAGAGATTGTTGTAAACTGATGAAACGTTGCGTCACCTTTTTGAGATGCTCCGATCCACTTGTGGTTCGCTAGTTTTTGAGAGAATTTTCAACGTGTTCAAAACCACATTTCGCATAAATTTTAGTATCTTTACAAAGTGGAACCATAAACGAGTCCATCAAGACATTATTCCATTATAACGTTATCAAGTAAAATGATTAACAACAAAAAACAATATAATTTATAAGATCTTAGAAGCCATAGGGAAGATCACCTTATAAATTGTATTGTTTATGTTGTTAATCATTTTACGTTACCTGTATGTGTTCCGAAACTTAGTATGTAATAAATGCAGAAGTATAGTATATCTATATATCTTAGTGTTTTATTATTATCTTGATCTAAAGTAGATTGGCTCTCTTTAAGAACCGGTTACCAATTGAATTAAATTCTCTGTCCTCTACATTGAATGTCCCGCATTGTACACTGCATGGTATTGAACCAAATAGAGTCAAATCGATTTCAAAATTCCAGTTTGTTATTATTTTTTTTGTTTTCCAGATACGGACCATCCTTTCGCCTCAAAAAGTACTCCTGATCATCCCATGTTTAATATTATTTCTGGTCTACTTCAAACTGGTCGAAGTTCCGCAGCCATCCAAATCAACAGAATCACTTGTAAATCAGAAACTACGACAACTTAAAGAACATGATTTGCTTCCCAAGTTAAGTAAACCCAAAACTATTGAAATTCTGCAAAAAAGTCCTGCAGTTCCCCCAGCTGTGCTTCCATCTTGTCCTAATGTTCTGACCAACATGGTACAGGGATATTGGAAACAGAATTCAATGACACCAGACCAGCGTAAAGAGATCGATCATTTTTTGAATGTATTAGCACGATATGAGGCTGTACCACCGAACTTCCAGAGAACAGATCTAAAATGTGGTAACGTTACATATCCACTACCCTATAATAAGTGGATCCGAGCGGTCTGTGATAAACATGGAGCTACCCCGTGCTGTTATAATAATAAATGTGTTTCTATGACATCAGATGAGTGTATCTGTGACAATTGTTTGGATCTACGGACGAGAATTATTGCTGAATATGCAGATTGGATTCCCTTTGACAGAAGATGTACAGTGAAAGTGTACAATCAAAACGATGCCTGTGAGTTGTTATCAGACCATGTGATGGTTTTTATGGGAGATTCTATGGTGGTGTCTATATCGCTCTGTTGTTATTGTTAAAGAATAACTATATAGACGGAGCATTGAAACCAAATACCCCAAAAGGTAACATTATTTTTATTATTTATCAAGGAGTGGGGGTATGTTACCTTGCCTAGCTAGCTATTATTATTTATCAAGGCTAGATATTATTATTTATCAAGGAGTTGGGGATATGTTACCTTGCCTGGCAAGCTATTAATATTTATCAAGGAGTTGGGGTATGTTACCTTGCCTGGCTAGCTATTATTATTTATCAAGGAGTTGGGGTATGTTACCTTGCCTGGCTAGCTATTATTATTTATCAATGAGTTGGGGTATGTTACCTTGCCTGGCTAGCTATTATTATTAAACAATGAGTTGGGGTATGTTACCTTGTCTGACAAGCTATTATTATTTATCAAGGAGTTGGGGTATGTTACCTTGCCTGGCTAGCTATTATTATTTATCAAGGAGTGGGGGTATGTTACCTTGCCTGGCTAGCTATTATTATTTATCAATGAGTTGGGGTATGTTACCTTGCCTGGCTAGCTATTATTATTATCAATGAGTGGGGGTATGTTACCTTGCCTGGCTAGCTATTATTATTTATCAAGGAGTGGGGGTATGTTACGTTGCCTGGCTAGCTATTATTATTTATCAAGGAGTGGGAGTATGTTACCTTGTCTGGCTAGCTATTATTATTTATCAAGGAGTGGGGATATGTTACCTTGCCTGGCAAGCTATTATTATTTATCAAGGAGCGGGGGTATGTTACCTTGTCTGACAAGCTATTATTATTTATCAAGGAGTGGGGGTATGTTACCTTGCCTGGCTAGCTATTATTATTTATCAATGAGTTGGGGTATGTTACCTTGCCGACAAGCTATTATTATTTATCAATGAGTGGGGATATGTTACGTTGTCTGGCTAGCTATTATTATTTATCAAGGAGTTGGGGTATGTTACCTTACCTGGCTAGCTATTATTATTTATCAAGGAGTTGGGGTATGTTACCTTACCTGGCTAGGTATTATTATTTATCAAGGAGTTGGGGTATGTTACCTTACCTGGTTAGGTATTATTATTTATCAAGGAGTTGGGGTATGTTACCTTACCTGGCTAGCTATTATTATTTATCAATGAGTTGGGGTATGTTACCTTGCCTGGCTAGCTATTATCATTTATCAATATGTTATCTTGTCTGGCAAGCTATTATTATTAAACAATGAGTTGGGGTATGTTACGTTGTCTGGCAAGCTATTATTATTAAACAATGAGTTGGGGTATGTTACGTTGTCTGACAAGCTATTATTATTAAACAATGAGTTGGGGTATGTTACGTTGTCTGACAAGCTATTATTATTTATCAAGAAATGGGGGTATGTTACGTTGTCTGACAGGTTATTATTATTTATCAAGAAATGGGGGTATGTTACCCTATCAAGTTTGGTATAGGAGCTTGGGTATGATTGAACCCTATAATAATACAAGTTGGATTCATTTCGCATGACCACTAAACATGGACTGGTTTCTATTGGAAACTATTCAATTAAGACGACGGCTAAATTGTATTTATGGGTGATTAACGATCTTCAATCATACTAAAACATTTATGGGAAAAGTGGACATTGGAAATGTTTTTTTTATTATTTTGTTATTATCCATTTTGGGAAAAGTGGACATTGCAAATGTTTTTTTTATTATTTTGTTATTATCCATTTCAGAAATCCGAAAAGAATGTTCAAATATGGAGATATTAACAGACAAGTCATGTCGACATTATATCGCAAGAGATATTACAGTGTGCGGTGGAAGGGTGAAGCTCATCATGAAGGAATATAAGCGTGTGCGGAATCTGGATTTGACTGCGCAGCTTCTTAAACAAGTTTCAAAATATCCCAAATCATTGGTGGTGTTAGGACTTGGTGTTCACGACAATTATAACTCTACAGCGGTTATTGAATCATATCTGAAACCCTTGAAAAAACTTCACTCGTCATTTCAACACTCGAGGACAAAGTTATTGTGGGCCACCCCGAGTAATTACGGTTTTCTTAAAGCCAATCGTTACCCACAGAGAAAAGTTGACGTGTTGCGTTTCATGAAAGAAACCGGTAAATATTTAGATAGTGTAAATATTCCCCAGTTTAACACCTACGACATGACTCACGGAGTTAGGAGTCAAGATGGACACCATTATGGACTCGGTCTAAACAAATGGAAAGTTATGGTTCTATTAAACTATATTCAGGAACTGAAAACAAAGGGACAGTGGCAAACAAAAACTGAAAACAAAGGGACAGTGGTAAACTAGAACTGAAAACAAAGGGACAGTGGTAAACTAAAACTCAAAAAAGGGACAGTGGTAAACTAAAACTCAAAACAAAGGGACAGTGGTAAATTAAACTGAAAACAAAGGGACAGTGGTAAACTAGAACTGAAAACAAATGGACAGTGGTAAAGTAGAACTGAAAACAAAGGGACAGTGGTAAACTAGAACTGAAAACAAATGGACAGTGGTAAATTAAAACTCAAAACAAAGGGACAGTGGTAAACTAGAACTGAAAACAAATGGACAGTGGTAAAGTAGAACTGAAAACAAAGGGACAGTGGTAAACTAGAACTGAAAACAAATGGACAGTGGTAAATTAAAACTCAAAACAAAAGGGCAGTCGTAAACTAAAACTGTAAACAAATGGACAGTGGTAGACTAAAACTCAAAACAAAGGGGCAGCGGTAGACTAAAACTCAAAACAAAGGGACAGTGGTAGACTAGAACTAAAACAAAGGGGCAGTGGTAGACTAAAAAACCCAAAATAAAGGGTCAGTGGTAGACTAAAATCCAAAACAAGGGAACCGTGGTAGACCAGACCTGAAACCAAAGGGAAGGTGGTAGACTGTGATTTGTATTGGTTGCGAACTACGTTCCGTGGGTGTTATTTCCATGTGCACCATGCATAGTTTCGTGTGGGATAGTTGGTTGAAGAATTCAATTTTGATTGTAGCTCCACATAAGTTCTGATTATAACCCGTTGCTCGGGGAATCGATAAATTTAACATGAGTTAATATAAACTCACAAAACTTGTGGGGGCTGTCATCTTGTTCCTGTTCTAAACAGGTAGTAGATCAAATATGCTGAATGGTAGTTATCTCCCTTGATAGAACTGAAAGCATCATTACACAAAATTCAACTGTAATTCGCAGACTATTTCTTTGTTGTAAACAGGGTATAATAAGGCGCTTCGTAGTCTAGCAGAAAATTTAGGACAATTACCATTTAGATCATTCAATTCAGTCTAGTTGTATTCTCTTACATGAAAAAGGTTGCAAGGAAAACCTAAGAGAATATCACCAAATAATAAGATTTTTGGACGGGTAGTGCAATCGATCAAGGAACCTGAAAGGTACATGTATTAGAAAGGAAAACGTTGAAATCCCCTGCTATAGACATCATAGTGATGAAGAACAGGACGTAAAACTCCATTCAGACGATTTGTTATTAACCAATTAGAGTTTGAGCGATGAATTTAATTATTTTAGAATACCAATTAATATTTTGTAAGATACAAGCGTTTACGTGATATTGGCACGATCTCACCAGATCATGTGTAACCACCATCTTGTTAATTTCCTGTTACCATGGAAATGAGTAAACACAATTTGAGAAAAGTACCAACTTTGTCGCAGACTTTCACTTCGTTTCAGTTTTAATTGGTTTCAATTTCACTGTTATCAACACCAAATCAACACTTTCAAAATGTCATGTTTGGTCTATCTCGGTTACAATGGCTTTTATTTCACTTGACAGTCAGGGGCGTCATTGTACTGAAAGTTTGTGGGTAGGGGTTTAATCAGTTTTCAGTTGTCGCATGATACAGCATGACTTTATTGTCTCTGTGTGGAAGGGTTGATCTCTAGCCAATCAAAGGCATAGTAGGAGTTGCATAAAACAACAAAACTTAACCCTTAAAAGACTAACACTCCAGTTCTTTAACGTCACAATACCCCGGCCTCCCTGGGCATAGTCCAAAACATCTACTTCTATGTCGGCCTCTGATAGATATTTTGGCAGTTGAAGACTGGAATAACCGACAACTTTCAAGATAGCTTTCAGAGACTGGAATAAAGGCAATTATTTCGGCATAGCGTCACAATCGCCCTGTTTTAGAGTGAAAAATGTGTTCAATGATAATAGCTTCTGTGTTGATGTGATTATCTGGAGCATTGTCCCCACATCGATTACTTAACTGCAATGTTTCAACCTAAAATTCTTTAAAAAAGTGAAATACGATAGAAATATGTAATAATTTCGAACATGTTTAAGAGACGATGCCCCGTCCCCTATACCCATGCCTATGTATACAAGGGTTCGAGGTTAACAGGTAAAGGAAAATTTGATGTAATTGAATGGTTAAGGTAGAAAGATCTAAATAAATACATCATTTACATTGACAACAATGTGTGAAAAGAGCATCAGTCAATACAAGTAAACATTAGTTTAATAATGGTGTGAATATCGTTAAGATCAATACACCTCCTGTATCTCTTTCTTTCCATCAGGACACCACAAGTCATCGTTAAAATCAGGTATTTCTGAGACAAAATAGAGGAAAGTTTTGCGTCTTATCTTAATGGTTCATTCTGACATAGCGGAGCAGAGCATAGAGAAATTATTTTTGAAAGAGAAATAAAACTTTTTTTACCTTAAGAAGACGCCTATCGCCTAGGGTTTTTGTAATGGGAATGAGTTTTCTATCTTATCATTCTGCGAATAGATGAGATACGGTGTACGATGCGGGGTTAGCGATATAATGGAAAAAATAAGTGATTCCTGTGTCCATCGTACATCAAGCCTCAACTATTTACAGCTAAAAGCCTTATTGTGATCTGAACGATTTCTTTGACCAATGGAGATATTTAAATCAACGTGCAATAAACTGAATTTAAACTTCAATGCTTTTTTGAAAAGTCAGACTTGATTGTTCCCAGGGGCATGCAACATATATAGATGTTAAGTTGCAGTAATAGTATTGCACGGATGTCAGAATTTTTTCATGGGGGGCAATTAATTTTTTCAGCTACGAGTCTGAAATGAAGTCGACACATATAAGTCGACGCATATAATGTATACGCTAGCTCCCGGAACATCTAATTCTAATAATTCTCATTATATTTCAATCGTTAATGGGGATAATATGAAATATAAACAGTCCGCAGTAACAGTGCGTCAAGTAATTGTCCCGTACTACTGAACTGAAAATGAGAAACCGTACATGTTGGAAGTTATTTTAAAGATGGATTTCCTTATTTTTTATTGTTAAATTAAGCAAACTATTTGATTAATTGGTGTTTTTAATGAATTATCATGTATTCTTAATCATATTGTGATCTTATTGCATATAATTAAGAGTTTTAACCAACCATAAATGTTCACATAAGTACAATCTGGATAAACAAAATAAGACTTTTTGACCTTTCTTGATCAGTCACTCATTGGAATTCTGCTGGTAATTCTCCTCCAATTTAGCAATTATGAATTAATTATGGAGACAAACTGGTATTTTTCCAAGTCATTAGAACACCTCTACTTTCTATTCATATAAGTATTAGCATTTTCAATTTCATAAATAATAATAAGGGAACCTATCTGTAAGTAATATCAGTGATAAGTCATTTAATTTCAGTAATATCAATGTAAAGGATACGACAAAAATAACGACAGGTTGATGTTTTCATTTTTATTATGTGATAAAGATTCCTGTATGTGAAACGTTGCAGAAATTAAACAAAAAGAGTAGTATATCATTAATAATGTTCTTATTTACTTACTATGTTCTTTCTTCTTCTATATGTCATTTAAATATTATAGGTTTGTTTACTTTTAAATGAGTTACTTCCCTTTACTTACCTAAACTGTTATAGATTCCCTGGGTTCACAATAAAAGTTCAATGCGGAATTAAACATTGTTCTGGATCACCAATGTCTTTAAATGAAATGTGCACCAAAACGGGCCATATAGCACCTAAATACATTTGAAATATAAATTTAAATAATATAGAATTAAACCACGGCCAGAATATATCACACTAGTGGTAATAATAAATATAATTATAATAAATAAAATGATAAAAACCATTTCAAAGTGAATACGTCACAATTTACTTTAATCAAAATAAGGGAAAATTTGATATTAGCTTGTTTTATAAAAAGCAAAAAGCTGAAACAATGATCCAGCACGGTAGAAATGAAATGAATGGAGTTTTATATCCAGCACGGTAGAAATGAAATGAATGGAGTTTTATATCCAGCACAGTAGAAATGAAATGAATAGAGTTTTATATCCAGCACGGTATAAACGAAATGAATGGAGTTTTATATCGAGCACGGTAGAAATGAAATGAATGGAGTTTTATATCCAGCACGGTAGAAATGAAATGAATGGAGTTTTATATCCAGCACGGTAGAAACGAAATGAATAGAGTTTTATATCCAGCACGGTAGAAATGAAATGAATGGAGTTTTATATCCAGCACGGTAGAAACGAAATGAATAGAGTTTTATATCCAGCACGGTATAAACGAAATGAATAGAGTTTTATATCCAGCACGGTAGAAATGAAATGAATGGAGTTTTATATCCAGCACGGTATTAATGAAATGAATGGAGTTTTATATCCAGCACGGTAGAAATGAAATGAATGGAGTTTTATATCCAGCACGGTAGAAATGAAATGAATGGAGTTTATATCCAGCACGGTAGAAATGAAATGAATGGAGTTTTATATCCAGCACGGTAGAAATGAAATGAATGGAGTTTTATATCCAGCACGGTAGAAATGAAATGAATGGAGTTTTATATCCAGCACGGTATTAATGAAATGAATGGAGTTTTATATCCAGCACGGTAGAAATGAAATGAATGGAGTTTTATATCCAGCACGGTAGAAATGAAATGAATGGAGTTTTATATCCAGCACGGTAGAAAGATGCATCTATGCCGGATAGAAACTGAATTTCGACATAAATAGAAATGTTAAGGTTGTCGGTATAGGTTTCTTACATGAAAATCCCCAAATCTCTAGGGGCTGAAATAAATTTGTATACCTAAGTTGAAAAAATACTCTTATATGTGGGATTTCAGTACATATATAAATGCAAGAATGTTCTATCTGATGAAAAAACCGCCAAGCCGTAAGTATTGGACAACAATACGAGGACTCGTGTACTATAGGCTGTGAACTTAAAGATCATCGATAGTTGCAATCGCTTATGCCGCTGTCCCGAAACATTTCTCTCATTGTACACTGCATGGCGTTGCCTGTCCTTCATTAACCAAATCACACACAGAAAAGTTCGATTTAAACTCTTATTTTGATTGTAGTGTCACATTGAAAAATTGCTTGTTGTCATTAAAATACCCAATTATTCCTATCAGGTGAGAAATCTTTGTAAAGTTTTAGAAATGTTATGATAGCGGTACCTGATTTTTAAAGGTAATGTAGTTAATATATCAATTAATACCTATTTAACCGTCAATTTGAGTAATTATATCAATAGATGCTGCATATTGAACAATGGTGTAACTGTAAATATCCACCAATACTCTCGTCTTCACCTGTTTCATATCAGACCAATCTTTAAAAATTCATACAAGACGCTATAGTGACACTATTGTTTTTATTCCTACATTATCACATTTCCCTGTACACAATCCTAGTGAAAATCAAATATTCAAACTCAAGCGATATGTCATAGCAATTTTAACATTTGTGCATTGGAGACAAACATACCGCCACGTGACCACAATGTTTTGACACCCAAAGATGCCATAATTAGTGAATACCGACGTATTTATTGAATTAATAACCCCCATTTTACTTTTCTTATAACATTATTAATTATGTAGAGGAATCTCTTTTCACAATCTCTCGCTTTTATTGAATTATTTTCGTCACGCTCTGTGACCCATCTCTTCATAACGCTACGGATTCAGCGCTCGTATGTGACGTCACAAGCGTGCGTACTGATGCAGTGAAAATATTCCCACACTTGAGTTTTCATTCATAAATTTGTTATCGTGTTGTCCTCATCCCTTACTACAAAACCCTTGTATTGAAATAAAAATATACTCATTTCATTCATTCATCTCAATCCGCGCGCTGCACAAAAACGATGATTGGCAGGTTGATGTGGTCACGTGACTGTGTATTACTACATGAAAAATAGAATATGATGGCAATAATTGCTAGAGTTTTTAATATTAAACAAACTCTGTATAAATTATGGTAACAGCCTGAGAAAACTTTCATATCTTCAAGAAGCTGGTCGAAGGCATCACGACTATTCAGAGAACCTGGAAGGTAATGACAACTTCTATTCAAAATTTGTATTATGTTTTTAAATTCACTCGGATATTAATTGTAATAATTATAAAACTTGATTAAATTATTTTTATTTTATATCAAAAGATTAATTCATCTTAACATTAAATTACTTATGAAATGTTCTTAATTTTAAGTAAAGCAAAAACAAAATACTTATAGGCAATAAAGAATATTTGTTATAAATTTGAATATTTGAGGGCTGATATTTTGGACGGTGAAGTATATTGGACAGGAAGTGCTAACAGAAACTTGGCTACGCCATTGTATGCCAAATTTTTTCACCTTGTTTTTCAGTTCACTTGCATCCTTTTTCCAACTTGAAAATATTTCTTTTCACAGGATTTTGGGTGCCAAATTTTGTCATTTTTGTTGTCTAAGAATTCTTTTTCTGATTGCATCTATCCAACCAGACACTTTTGTAGTTAGTCACATATTTTTGAAAATGAAATCAGTTTGAAATCTTTGAACTTCGTTAGTCATTCATAAATTCTTATTGTCTTTTTTTTTCAAATTTAAATTTCCAGACGTAAAGAATTCCAGAAAGATAGCTGAAACTCACTGAAGTTACAGAATTCATGGTGGAATGATTTCAAATGAAGAATCAAAAGAAGTAGAATGTGAATATTGACTAAGGATCTCAGGTTTCTGATTGTTTTGATCATAACTTTGACTAAGTCATGTGAAGAGAGTAAATAATTCAAGATAAAGTCAGGGTGTGGAACCATCTCGGTCTCTATTAGTGTTTGATTCTCAGTTAGATAATAGGATTTCATTTATATCGAACCCTGGTTAAACTAACTGGCGCTGTGGATTATCAATACCCTCGGTTGATCGGAGAACTGTGGATAGTCAAATTCCTGGAATACAAGATTGTGTTGACCTTTGGATGATGATCTACAAGATTTAACTGCCACGACACGTCGGAGCTGATGAGAGTCCCACAACAGTGAATATTTGTTGGCTGTTTGCATTTCTTGATAATTGACTGCCTGGAACCTGACTGCTGTTATTGTGAGGAACCTTGCGAAAAGCAGATTTTGGATTTTGTTACTGTACACTCTCTCTCGCCTTGATTTCATGTGCGGCCATTGTTAACATCCCAAATTTCAGGAGTCCAATTCAGTACAGAATTTATTTCTAGTTTGTGAAAAAAAAATATTTAAAATACAGTTGAAGACTCTTAAACGAAGGCGTTGATTCAGTCGCTTTAACTAACTCAAGCGAAACCGAGTCTCAAGATACCTGAACCTGCAAGGAACAATTCAGAGCAAACATCAATCGATGAACCGAAATGACTTCAGGGTTGTTTAAGGATAGATTCCAATAAAAAATACATGTAACTACATATAATTGGTAAGCAAATAAATGACAATCTTTACCGAGCAGATATATTGCTGTTATGTTCGCGATATAAGTTCATCTTTCGCAAGTTTGGGATATAATAATCATCATCGACCTTTGTGTGGTCGCTGCGCTTAAGAATTCACAGGTACTCTATGAACAAATTATTTTTATGGAGAATTACACAACTATGGATGTGAACAGAAAACCAGAATTTTTATCACTTGACGTTTCATTGGATTTTAAAGACGAACGTAAATCATTCCGTTGCCCGCAATGTAAATACGTAACGGACCGCAAGAACAATTTGAAGAGACATATAATTACGATGCACCAGGAGAGTTCGAAATCGTTGGAATGTTGTGGTGTTTTGTTCAAAAGTAAAGCGTTATTAAGGGATCACGTTAGTTTATTCCATAGAGGAGGTTACTGCTGCCAGATTTGTGGTCGTAATTTTTGCCGAAAAGCCTTGCTTCATCGACATCTGACGGTACATAGTGGACAGAAAGACTTTTCTTGCAGTCAGTGTGGATATGCTACGAGTCATAAAAGCAATTTAGAGCGTCACCAAAAGGTCCATCTTCGCTGTGGTGATGGTAGTCACATGCTCGACCATTCGTCCGATGAAGATCGCTGCCACACCTTTCATGCAGAATCCAGAAGCGGTTCTTTCCGTAGAAAAATGTGCAACAAAAATACTTATCGGCATCTGCTTTTACCAAAACGGCTAGCTCATACTTACCATTCGGTACCAAATTCTGGGAACGAGTCTCCCAAAGAAGACACTTGCGAACTTGTGCCTGATTTTGTCGGTTGTGGAAACAAAATGGAACACAATACAGATATTTCAAAGAAAGCTGTCATTCCATCAGTCCCCGACGAAGATCAGTTTTCACAAGACTTACCAATACCCAAAAGACACCATCAGTTAACTAGAGTCGGGAATTCTAAGAGAATGTTTTATAGACCATATAAGTGTACTGTCTGTAACCGACATTTTAAATACCAGCTGGAGTTTTTCAGGCACCAGTGTTTAACACGAGAGAGGCACCAACCAACTCTGCCTTTTACTAATGCTTTTAAAAGGAAGAAGCTCGAGACAGTGCAAGGTAAAGATCTAGAGACTGTACAAGAGTCATCAGTTTCACCGAAGTCGCCTAAGAATAACAGTGTTTTAGAATCAAACTCCAAATACAGGAAGAGGCGCTCAAACGACTTCCGGTATTCCAATACATGCGCACATAAAATACCCCGCCTGAATAACCAAGCAGACGATAGTTATCGTTCTTTGAATTACCCCAAGTTATATAACCATAGTCCACAGTCGTTACATGATAAATTTAAAACGAAAAACGAAGAATTCCAGAATCTCAGTTTGATTAAACCATTGAAACAATACGATGCCTTTCCGAACAAAAGTTTCGTGAATTTTTATCAAATTCCATCCAAGCAAGTTTCAGACTCAGTTCACTATTACCCTTACAGTCCTTTTCCAAATGACAATGTCAAAAATGTGGACTTTTGGCGAGTTTGGTGATTGTTTTTGTTGTTGTTTTTTTCTATTAATTACATTATCATCCGTCCAATAATTTGCTTATTAAATTGCTTTTGCTTCATTAAATTTTGAGAGTATTATTACCACGACACCCGTGTCCATCAATCCGTATGTTACTGAATTCAAAGTATGTGTTTTTGTCGTTCATCGCAACTCTTCATGTGATTGAAGACAGAGGCATTCTTTTTTCTGATATCCCACAAAATATAATTATCAGACTCCCCTACCACCTAGCATGCTGTAATCGTAATATATTGAGTCTCACCTAGCATGATGTGATCGTTATATATTGAGTCTCACCAAGCATGATGTGATCGTTATATATTGAGTCTCACCGCATGATGTGATCGTAATATGTTGAGTCTCACCAACCATGATGTGATCGTTATATATTGAGTCTCGCCTAACATGATGTGATCGTGGTATATCAAGCCTCACCTAACATGATGTGATCGTAATATATTGAGTCTCACCTAGCATGATGTGATCGTTATATATTGAGTCTCGCCTAACATGATGTGATCGTTATATATTGAGTCTCACCAACCATGATGTGATCGTAATATATTGAGCCTCGCCTAACTTGATGTGATCGTAATATATTGAGTCTCGCCTAGCATGATGTGATCGTAATATATTGAGTCTCATCTAGCATGATGTAATCGTAATATATTAAGTATCACCTAACATGGTGTGATCGTAATATATTGAGTCTCACCTAGCATGATGTGATCGTAGTAATATATTGAGTCTCACCTAGCATGATGTGATCGTAATATATTGAGTCTCACCTAGCATGATGTGATCGTAATATATTGAGTCTCACCTAACATGATGTGATCATAATATATTGAGTCTCACCTAGCATAATGTGATCGTAATATATTGAGTCTCACCTAACATGGTGTGATCGTGGTATATCAAGCCTCGTCTAGCATGATGTGGTCGTAATATATTGAGTATTAATAAATATACCACAGAAAACAATTATCTATCCTAACTATCCGAAAGGAATATCGAGTTGACAAACCCAGTCGTAGAGGCGTATTAGTTGTTCTTGATAGCACTTATTATAGTGGAGCTTAAAATCAAGTTTAATGGCTTTTATAAGCGTTTACATGGTTAAGTACGATTCCATTTCATTTACAAATAAGGTGCAGAGAAGTTGGACGTAATAATATTCTCTATTCTTAATAAATGTTACCGAAAGGATTGCAGGATGTTAAGCCCCAGTCTTCATCATAAGGTACTGAAAACTGGGCCGTTAAACTCAGTTTAACCCAATTAATATCCATTTAATCCCGATAACCTCCGGTCAGTGATGCAGGCCGGGGAGACAAACATAGAAAAAGCGTCTAGTCTTTCGGATGGTACATTAAACTAAGGCTCCATGTGTCTACAGGTCGTGCACGTTTAAGATTTCCCGACAGTTGGAAAACGAAAAGAGAAGGCTTACACCGCTGTCCTGGCTGTCGCTGCCCGTCTTCATTAGTTCAGATGGGTGAAGAAAACTAGAGGTAATATTCCAGTTGATTAATGCTGCTGATAAAGGATACAAACAATCTATTATTCCAATTCTCCAGCGGAACATTAGTATTCAGGTAGGCTACAATGCCCAGAGTCTGTAAGAGATTTGATATGAAAAGGAGCTAGTTATTAATGGTAAATCAATTTTTCTCGAACTCTGAATACTGCTTACATTATATATTATTCATCATCGGGAGTTATCCGCCTGAATAAACCTTCCTAAACAAAATACCTATAGCTACTGCACGTGTAAATAATTGAAATATCTTGTTGTCGGTTGACATCTCAAAAACAAAACTTCGTTTCCACTGAAATCTTAATTGTTACTACAATCTGAACTCATTTAAAACTGTTAAAGAATGGTCTCTGACCGACCAACGAACATCGGTCGAATGGCCAACCGGAAGTAACATATAGCAAGGAAGTGGACATTATTAATATTATGGAATACCATTTTTCCTCAAACGAAACGAAACAAATTTTATATAAGTAATAATATTTTTTCGATTATCTATTTCGCTCCGTAATATTACGTCCATTATAAAAAAGCAATGCCTGTTTCGAGACTTCTGGTTGACTACTTGGTCTATTGGTATCCGTCCAAGATGAAATTGATGCTGAAAGCCTGATTTTGAGTAATTTTGAATTAGAATGTTCTATTTGACGAAAGTTGGTACATTAAACCAATGCACTGGACAATTATAGGACATTTACTTGCTTTCTTCTGCTTAACGGCTAAGGCTCGACGCTTAGGTTCGGCTGATTCCACATATTTTCTATTTTGTGAGGTCTGGAAGTCCGTGGACTGATTTTTTTTCTGAGATTCCATATCCAAAGCAAGCTACGTCAAGATGAGATGACCTCTTGTGTATCGGAGATTTTTTCACCAAGTCAGAATGGTTGGTAAATCCGATTGTATGATCAAGAAGATGAAACGCTGTATTGAAGCATTGAAACGATCCACTTGGGAAAGTGTAGATTGTTAGAGATGACAATATTACGATTAAGAGCTAAGGCAAGGAAGCTCTACTTTCACTTCCACTTGAACGGTTGCGTACAAATATTAACTTCTGAGCTTCAGTTGGAATAACTAACCAAGTAGAAATGTATAATTAGCGTTCATGATTCCACATATAACTTATACTGCGTGACATCTTTACAATATCAAACTATAACGAACTGTGTCTAATACCTTGACTTCAATAATCAGCTTTTTCATATTTCTGAAGTTAGTAAATGCAGCGATTGGATTGAATTGCACGCAACTGAACACAGCCCTCGATTACATGCACTGTAATTGTCTCTGTCGAGGGTTTTTGATTGTCTATATTCGCTAAACTTTTCTCTTTTTATTAATCCTTTCAGGATCTTTGATCGATTGCATTACCCCCCTTTCCCCTATAAATCCCTACTATAACCCCCCCCCCCCCCTCCCTTCCCCCTATAAATCCTTACTATTATCCCTCTTCCTCTGTGTAAATCCGTACTATTTCGTGATTTTCTTTTAGGTTTTCTCTGCAATCTTCTTCATGTCGAAGAATATAGCCTGACTGAATAGAGCGACTTTAATTATAATTGTCCAAAATATTATGCTACAAAGTGCCTCATTAACCTTCTGGGGTAATTACCCCAAGGTTAAAAAAATATTTCTTTCTTTTGTTTTGTCTTGATTGTAATCAAGGTTTTGCCTGTGATCAAGGTTTTAACTGTAATCGGGGTTTTAACTGTAATCAGGGTTTTATCTGTAATCAAGGTTTTAACTGTAATCAGGGTTTTAACTGTAATCAAGGTTTTATCTGTAATCAAGGTTTTAACTGTGATCAAGGTTTTGCCTGTGATCAAGGTTTTAACTGTAATCGGGGTTTTAACTGTGATCAAGGTTTTAACTGTAATCAAGGTTTTATCTGTAATCAAGGTTTTATCTGTAATCAAGGTTTTATCTGTAATCAAGGTTTTGCCTGTGATCAAGGTTTTAACTGTAATCAAGGTTTTAACTGTGATCAAGGTTTTGCCTGTGATCAAGGTTTTAACTGTAATCGGGGTTTTAACTGTAATCAAGGTTTTAACTGTAATCAAGATTTTACCTGTAATCAAGGTTTTAACTGTAATCAAGGTTTTAACTGTAATCAAGGTTTTACCTGTGATCAAGGTTTTAACTGTAATCAAGGTTTTAACTGTAATCAAGGTTTTGCCTGTGATCAAGGTTTTGCCTGTGATCAAGGTTTGAACTGTAATCAAGGTTTTACCTGTGATCAAGGTTTTAACTGTAATCAAGGTTTTGCCTGTGATCAAGGTTTTAACTGTAATCAAGGTTTTAACTGTAATCAAGATTTTACCTGTGATCAAGGTTTTAACTGTAATCAGGGTTTTAACTGTAATCAAAGTTTTACCTGTGATCAAGGTTTTAACTGTAATCAGAGTTTTAACTGTAATCAAGGTTTTAACTGTAATCAAGGTTTTAACTGTAATCGAGGCAAGGTTTTAACTGTAATCAAGGTTGAAAACCGTCAAATCATTCGGATACCAGGAATGTTTAAAATGTTATGACACAAATAAAGATAGCTTGCCAGGCAAGGTAACATACACCCACTGGCAGCTGTCAGAAATGATTAAACAGTCTTTAGTGACTACAGGGTTGCACAATATAGCTAATAGAGTGAAACGTCAAGTCATACACGATATTTCGGTGAAATATTATCCGATCATCGCGAAAATCGATAGGGATCATCTTCATAATGACATTGACATACAAAATAAAAATCAAAAGAATCTGTAAACAATTGTAGCCTGTAGAGTGAGCACGAGTTGCACAATATAGCTAATAGAGTAAAACGTCAAGTCAGACACGATATTTCGGTGAAAAATTATCCGATCATCACGAAAATCAATAGGGATCATCTTCATAATGACATTGACACACGAAATAAAAATCAAAAGAATCTGTAAAAAATTGTAGCCTGTAGAGTGAGCACGAGTTGCACAATATAGCTAATAGAGAAAAACGTCAAGTCAGACACGATATTTCGGTGAAAAATTATCCGATCATCACGAAAATCAATAGGGATCATCTTCATAATGACATTGACATACAAAATAAAAATCAAAAGAATCTGTAAAAAATTGTAGCCTGTAGAGTGAGCACGAGTTGCACAATATAGCTAATAGAGAAAAACGTCAAGTCAGACACGATATTTCGGTGAAAAATTATCCAATCATCACGAAAATCAATAGAGATCATCTTCATAACAACATTGACATACAAAATAAAAATCAAAAGAATCCATAAAGAACTGTAGCCTGTAGAGTGAGCATGAGCCAAATGGGAACGGACGGACGGACGGACGGATCGACGGGTGATTACAATATACGCCCATCTTACGTGTGGGCGTATAAAAATGGCGATAACATTGCAAATTATAGACTATAGGCGTAGGAGCGGCACACTGAACATTTCGAAAAAACGAATGAAGGGAAAGGCTGTAGGTATGTCGCCTAGCAGGGGTGCGAAACCTTTCCGCTGCCCCACCTCTACTCCTGCATTTATTATTCCTGTAAGTTATTGATCAGCAGAACGACGAGTTTTCTTAATTAGTTCCCTATTATGCCTCGTTATTCCACTCACCAATTAAAACACTTTGATTGCACAATAACTTATAAATATTTGATAGTTTTATTCGCTTTCTGAACCTAAACAACGGGTGGGAAATATCGAGTTTTCTCAACTTGAAAATCCTTCGTTACTATCAAGTTATTGAAGCGAAATGGAGTTTTACATCCTTTTTCTCAGGTTCTGTGCAATAATGACGGGTAACAACGAAACATGCATAGGTGTACGCGCCGAAGGCCTGTTGGGGCGTGGAGGTAGGCTGGTTTGCCCAAAAATTTTGATGGATTCAAAGGTCGAAGGCGAAGGCGCGAGTCTGCGAAAACACTACTAACTCGAGGTTTTTTCGGTCGCTGCTCGAAAAGATAATATTTATTATTTGATATTTTATTTATATAACATTTGCCCCTACCCCCTCCTGTCTCCAACACCTGTAGAAGCATGTGTTTTAAGGATGAATTTTCATGCGAATTTAGTAATCGACATAAAATTGACATCTTTTTCTGCAGTTGGCTAATGTACCCCAAGTTGGGAAAGGCCCCGTATTCTCAAAACGATCTTAGCGCTAGGATGTCCTAAGTTCTTATCTTCTAACATTGATTCTAGGGTATCCTAGCGCTAAGATCGTTTCGAGAATATGGGGCCAGGGTCCCATTCTGACTAGGGTACTCGACAAGGTCATACAAAGCTGTTATATAAACTAAATAGGCCCGTTAAAAAGATTTTTTTTTTATGAATGAAACTTTAGGAGGGGAGAAAATTATAAAATTTCGTGCGATTTTATGAATGTAAAAATTTCATCGACGCTTTCAAATATTTTTCAAAAATTTTGGATGAAAGGGTTTACAAATTGTCTTTGATAATAAAGTGTAATACATTAGGTCTATATCGCTATACTGTGTTTGGTTTGAAAGGAAAACAGCATATGGCAAGCGAGCCTATAGTATAAGGTTGGGTTAGCCTCATTTACGATACAAAGTATAAACTATACAGGGCGACTTTCATTCATAAAAATAAGCGTGTGAAAAGATGAAGGTTAATGTCTAAACTATACAGGTCACTAAATTATAAAAATCCACCCCATTTTAAAATCTTAAACAAAGATTAGACGCTTTTAAAATTGCCTTAAATTTGTACGAAGCCCATTGACTGGTTAAAAAATATAGCATGTGTTCAATAAACCGAAACGAAAATACATTATGTTATTTAACGCCTTTAGTGAAAAAAATTTTAATGTATACTTTACATCCTTGTGCACGCTGTAAATTAAATTTTGAACAATACAAGTTAAAAGCTATGAATTAACAGTGATTTATATTTGATATTTTATTATCTGTAGAAGATTTTGACACCAGTAGATTTAAATCCAGGTAAAAGCGTGAAAACTGTTTTAACATATATATGTGTATTGGTATTATTGGTTTCTGGGGATCGCATAGCTTCTATTTGAATATTTATAATGGTATTATACGTAGAAGTATATTATTAAGTAGTTATCAAGTATGTGAACTCCTTGAAAGAGATGTAAATCGGTTCCACTTTAACGTTTGGTGAAAATGTCCCCTGATTACGTCTTGATGCCAGGCCAACATGCGTCAAATTGGATAATTTTGGGCACTGTTATATATTTTATGATGTCTGTTCATTGCAAACCAAACTTTATTTATATTTATCAACCATACGAAAATGACAAATTGACAACTAATGTCACATTATAGCAGTGGTTCCCAACCTTTTTCAGCCTTCTCACCGCCGTAGCAATCACCCGGACCTTTCACACCCCCAAAAATTTGTTTCATCCACATTTCCAGCATGTGATGATGTGAAGTGCTCTTTCAAAATAAATTCTTCTCCTAATCCTGTTGGCCACACCCCTGACACCCTAGTCCCACACCCCCAAGGGGTGAAAACACTCCAAGTTGGGGACCGGGGTTTTATAGTATAATGTGACAATTGTATAATGTGAGTTATTCCTTAGCAAGTATAGTTAATTAAAATCTTTAGAGATAGTTAAATAAGAACTCAAACTACTTATAATTCAGTACCAATTATTAATGTAGTTTGTCTTTTATTCGTTTTTTTTTTTGCATAATTTTGTTCTCTGAAATTGTATTTTTCATTCAGATTTTGAGAAATATGAAGATAAGAAGATGTGGAAGATCGAAATTACAGGTTTACTGTTCCATTGCTCAACTCAAAATCTTCACGGTCAGTATCAGTCAGACTTTCATGCGACATAGTGGAAAGCGTTCAACGAGATTTCTGGAAAAAGTTATAGAAGATGGCAATTGTGTATTGGTTGTGTGATTCGATAATACCTTCGGATTTTTCAACCCAGTTTCCCCCTGTCAGTGATGCAGGTGAGAGGGGCTGACATAGCAAAAGCGTCTAGTGTGCGGATGGGACTATAAACCGAGGCCCCGTGTGCTACAGGCTGTGCACGTTAAAGATCCCTCGACAGTTGGAAATCGAAAAAGATCAGGCTAATGCCGCTGTCCTGGCAAAATTACCCTCATTGCACCCTGCATGGCGTTGTCCGTCTTCATTAGCCAAATTTTCATGCGAACATTAGAGTTTCGTCCCTTGAAATGAATCAATTCGATAAGTAAATATTCATGGAGTCAGTATACCCATTGCCACTTTGTTGTCTGATTTTTTAAAGAGTTTTATCCCCTGAATAGGAAACGCAAGACTTAAAATTTATATTTTTCATAATTGTATTTCTTCAATTAAAAAATCGCAAATTATTTTTGTTGTTTCGTATTTCCATCGAACAGAATCTAAAAAAGTCAAATGATCCAAAAATTAGTTCGTCTAACTAGTCAACCCTTGGGAAGAAACTTACATTTTCATAATTTGGCTTCTTATTCCTTTCAATTTTCAAGATTCGCAAATTACATTATCATTATTATTATTATCCTGAGCTGCAAAAAAAAAAACAATGAATAAAGTGTTTATTTTGTTCAAAAAGTTATGTATATGGATAGATTTATTGACTATTGTTTTAAGTTGTATCGTTAAATACACTGTATTTTTTAGTTTTTATCGTGCTAAAATTTCGAGACCATGGTGCTTTAAGAATAACCCGAATAATCAAATCAAAAGAGAGTGTAGACTCTCGATTAAAAATAAAAAAAAACAACCATATGTACGACAGAAAAGGGTACGAGACGTCGGTTCCATCGAAGATAAACACTAAATGCAGGAGCAGCGCCAAGTTGTTTCACTGTATTTGTATTGAATAACGATCTGGTGTTGAAGAGTGAGAAGAACGCCAGTTGGTAACTGGTTCATATCGACAGATTCTACTCATAATCAATGGTGTTTTATCTGACTTCTTGAAACTAGAGCGGGGAAAGAGACAGCTTTATTCGTTTGTATATTAGTCTTTAACAAGTTCACGATAGTTCCATTGGGGTGTCCTTTCTATGTCGTATGGTGCAGCACCTTGTGGATTTAGGCGAGGAAGACTGTTTAAAATATGTTATATTTCAATACAGCTTGATTCCTTGCTCTTTCATCTGCACTGAAAATTACATAATACCATTGACCATTTAAAGCTGAGCTCAGATACACTGGCGATTCAAACCGTCTCATCGAGCTATTGCAATCGAAATGGCCAAACAATTGAGAGACTACCAGCAACTGTGATCACTTATATGGTGACTCAGGTTGACTAGATGCAATTGTTGAGTTGGAAGATGAGCAACTGAACAAGTGACGACAATTGTGAATTTTCATTTATCAGCGCTCTTAGGTTTGCTAAATCAGCAATGGGTAAGATTCTTCCACAAGTCGCCAGTAGCAACTCTGATTGGTGGATAGCAATAACATCAACCAATCAGTTCTTGGCGTTCGCAAATATCTCAAAGGATCTTTCTTACTTGCATATTTAAGCGTGCAATTCCCTTGACTTGACTATGATTGAGCGCTATCTTTAGAA